TGAGCTGTACGAGTTAACGAAGATTGGACTCCAAAACCTATGCTGTTAGTTCGTGTCCGGCCTTAAATGACCCAGAATTCAATATCTTGATTTAAAATGCAATCTTATCGCCAGAGAAAAAAGAGGATAAATTGTAAGCTTGTTCACCAAATAAGGAAATCATGCATATTCAAATTAAATTAACTCTCCTTCCGGACTGGAACATAAGCATTTCCATGAACGCCTTAATATGTTATAAATCCCATTCGCAAGGGAAAATAATTTGGAAAATAACTCAGATATATACGTATTCCTAAATCATAAGCAGCGCTCTGCCTTCCAAATTTTGTTTAATTTTGATCCATGTTACTGAGTACGTCTAGAAACATAGCATTTGATTTCGTTTCCATGCCGAGAAATAAGCGAGCCAGCGACGCATCATTGCATAATCGTTTTTTCACTGCGAGGTAATGTGCAATTCTTTAAAGATGACATTGAGTTATACATGAGATACCTTCAGACATTCGAGTAACATGTAGACGATAGGGGACTGTAGGGCATACCCTTCAAGCAGTTCTTTAAGATCTACCTTGGGTGTTCAGTGCTAAGATCATTTACCAGTTCCTCTCACAAAATAGAACTGTGTCGTTGAAATTTTTTTGGAATGTAACATTTCGAAAACTCATTGAACACCTTAGAAAAAGTTGTTCTCATAAGGAGAAAAACTCTGCCCACGTTCTTGTTCAGGATTAAAATATTCAGACGCCTTTATCACTCATGTCGACTAGCTTGTCTGGGTTTAAAGGGTATTGGCTGGTTTAATCCACTGGGATGGCTGCGCTCACCTACTTAGGCAAGCTTTTGGATACATCTTAACACAAATGCACTCCACCGAGTTTTTTTATAAACATTACACTGATCAAGGCTTATGACGTCATTATGCATAATGTTTGTTTATGAATGGATTGTATGTCATTCAACGCTAGGCTGCAAGCCATCGTAAACTTCATTCATAACCACTAATGTACCAAACGGACATAAAGTACACTTTGAAAAAGATGAGCTCGCTGAGACCAGCTGTCTTAAAGGACTAAAAAAGGGTCAGTTGTATCAATTGTCTTAAGCATTCTCTTTCATAACAGAGGAGACTTCAATCGATGCTTTAACCTCTTAGCTGTTGTCTTTCATCCCGCTCTCTTTTTTCATGACCTAAACTGCAGCAATAGCCCACACGGAAATAACGTGCTTGTAAAGCCATTTAAGACGTGAGTGTTGCTTTTTATTTAAAGAACAACTTTATTTTTACTTCAGTCAAACGTCGCAACTGTAACTGGGGCAAAATTTAGCATAACGAGAGAAACTCTCGGGAGAATAGAGAAATAGACAAATTCCTTCACTTTGTTAAGCAAGTGCTCGATTATGGAAAGCGCATGATACGCTATTTTTTTCCTATGCATATTTTCTTATGGAAAAAATCAACTTGAGCTGCGACTTGGGGTAGGAGTTTTGTGTAAGCTTCAAAACAAGAGTTACAAGAGTTAATGAGTTACAACGTTACATCTGTTTTTAATTCTGGGGTTACTTTTCTAAAGGCTGGTGATAACTTGAATCTCTTTCTCGGGCGCGGGTGGTTACAGAATCCTTTCGTCTGTTAGTTCATGAACCATTCTATTGTTTCATTGTTCTAAAAAAAAAAGGGAAAACACTCCTCTCAAGATTAAACCAAAAGGAAGACGAGTAACGGAGAAAGTCGCCTTTATAATCATGAAATGACGTGAAATAGGTCATTGAGGTCGATAAATAACCTACAAGGTAATGTAAGCCAATTTGGGTCGGTTTGCTCCATCTGCGTATCAGATCGTTACACGTCAACATTAACAGTTTAAATAACAATAATAATAACTAGGTTTCTGTGGTTGTTTATGCTCCATAATGTCGGAACATAAGAATAGAGAAGGTCCTTTTCGATAATGTGTTTGTGCTTGATTGTAGCATATAGTTGCCAACACATGTCACGGAAAGTCATTCGTTTTTTCTATAGAAGTTCACACTTCATTGCTTGAGATTATTTGACTCCTAAGCATGCAGGGTTTAAGACATCCCTAAGAAGAAAAAATAACTACTTATGGACACCTAAATCACGTTAAATGAGCGTAGCTGGTGAATTTGCAGCTAATTACATACCCAAACAACCATCTTGTGAAACAAGCTTGTTTGTGTCTTCTCCAGCTTTAGCCCACTTAGCGTGTCAAAAATTTAAGGCAACACGACAAGTGATAAACGATCTCACAGCAGAAATAGATTCTTCTCTTAAAAACATGATTGAGATATGATAATCAGCAGTTAACTGCGTTAGTTAAATCTTCTCTCGATGTTCAGTCTGTTGGAGCTGGTGTGTGGAGTCATCAGGCACGTCGTACGCACTTCAGATTACTTTACATCAAACTCGGCACACCACACATTTTATAGGAACTACTAATATAGGTAAGGCAAAGATTTTTTTCGCTCATAAACAAGAAACCTCATTGCGTGCAGTTTAGCATAGGTAGTTTGGCGGATTTTGTTGTTTTAACTGATAAGGATCATAGATTAAAAGCAAGTGATGTTGAGAAGATGATAAAATCGCCCCGAAACAAATGGTATATTGACACTAAAACCAGAGTGCCAATGTCATTTAATCGACGTTACATAAGCACATTCTTACAGACGAAATGTCTGGAGGACATTCGCTGTCTAGAAATTCTTCATTTCTCTAGCCAAATCTCTTCTACACACTTTCACGTAAATTAACAAACGAGTTTGTTTGTTATTGTTTTTACACGACTTGTTTCTTTTGACTTGAAGTAAGTCTGGTATCCAAATATGCGCCGGTGCTCACAAGGCTGGACAATCTCAGGCCAAAGAGGCATTCGTTGTTACGCTCCTGATACAGAGTGCAATTATTGTTTAAGCACCCCTTGGGCAAAAACTTGGCCTTTTTACAGCTGACAGGAGAGTGTTATTCGACTGAAATTACGCTTTTTAAAGCAAAGTTTCGTGCTTTCGTCGCCATTTCTAGCTAGCACAGACTTTCGAAAGCACCTCTTGAAAACAACTCAAGGCTAGAGTTAAGACAAAGATTTCGTCTAGGTTTTGACAATATTAGAGGCTTCTCAAGCGTGTATACGTGACTATTAAACAACGGGTTTTAAAAATGACGCATCCTAACGAGAGATAAGGTACAAAAAATAGGTCTGTTTTGGGATAAGGGAGAGAAACAGAGGCGCGGCGAGGCAAGGCGAACAGTTATCAGTAGATAACAGTTGACAAGTTAGGCAGACACTATGATATTTTGGGCAGCCGGGGAAAATGACCGCCAAGTCGTAATGAGAATATACCAACTGGATAACCCTAAGATGGCTTTAGTAATGACTACTTTAGGTGTTCACTGCTATATGTGGTTTTGACATCCTCATAGAACATACAGGTGCCGAACGGAAAGTGAATGTTGGCACCTTTCGTGCTGGTTGACATTTCTGACACACATAAATTTTGGAAAATTGTTGTCAATTTTCGCCAATTAAATTATCGTTTATCTTCTGAGGACAGGCGTATCGTGTCAATTATTTTCATTAAAAAATCATCGTCCTTCGATTACCGTCAAGTGTGTGGGGTTTTAAGTGTAAATTGTAACCCTAACAATGGCTAGTTCTTCACGAGACCGTGAATTTTAATGCGTAATTAGGGTGGCTCTGTGTTGTACTAGGCCATTTTGTATTATTATGAAACTTTGTGCACAACATCCGGCCATAACTTGTTTCACTCACGGTCGAAAATATTTTTAGGAAATGAAAATGAAATAAGGGGATAAATCTTCGTCCAGTTGCCCTATTTGTTTAAGAAACTTTATACTTGAAATATTCGCTTTGCCAGGCAAAGCCTAAAGCTAGAATATCAAATGAAAGGTTCATTCTGTACGATGAAGTGATCTGAGGATTTTTGGCTGGTTACCGCATGATTATGCTTTACCCAGTACAAATTAAAAATCGCTCAGTTATTTAAAGACACTGTTTTCAACTGAAGCTCGCACAGCGTATAAGGCGCTAAGTACAGGGTCACTGGACACTTGACTTTTTTATGTTTTCGTTAGCACTGTCGGGATAATTTAAAAGCAAGAGAGAGTTTTTTCAAGAACTCTGGAATTGTTTATCTAACCATAAACCATTCGCAGAAATGATTCCTAAGTCTTACGAATAAGCTGCATCGTTGATAACCAAACAAGCTAGTACTTATTAATGAAATTTGGAATTTTTCTCGTCAGGAGGAACCTCATTAGTAAGAGCTTTTCCCTTTTGTTAGTTAATCGTTACTGCAAAGGGTAGCGAAGTAATCCAATTACGTTATTATTTACGAGATCCGAACTTTTGGCATCGCAAAATTTAGGAGTGAACAATAACAACTTTCAAGGCATTGAATATTTACGAATCGTTTATTTGACTCGAAAAGGCGGCTGTAGCTTTTCCCTATGTCGACTGAAACTTTTCCTAATTCCTCACATGATTTACTTTAAGAAATGTCGTGACAAGCGTTTTCTTTGAGTCCTATTCGGTACACCTGCCAAACTCATATTGGCTTTAGGCGGTCCCATATCCATTTCTCCCCTAAAATAAACACTGTATTATACACTTGGGTGATAAGTGTCGTATTTCACGCACTTGAATAGTACGCTGTCCAGACGCTTCCAAAAGCGCACATCAAACATACTTATACTCTACCTGGGAGAGCGTCTGCTAGTATTGTGTTAAACGAAATAAAACAAACGCGCGCGCTAGAAAACCCCTGCTCCGGTTTGAAAACTGACCGAAGAGTCGTCGCATGTGCTTATCAACTCCTTATCGGTTCGGTATGGGTTATTAATGTCACTCTTATTCGCTCGTTATCTGTCACAATCTCGCGTGATTGTCATGGCGCCGCGAATCTAATGATTTTTTCTTGGTTTTGTTTGCAAACAGCCAGTGACTTCGCTTGAGGATTCACGCAAGATGAACGCTTCTCTGGTCGCTTTTGCTGTGCTTCTATGCCTCAGTCGTTGTTTGGCGTTTGACTGTCCGAAACAGTGCAGTTGTGGGGAGACGATCCGGTGCAAAGTGAAAGACTTGAGAATCTTAAAGAAGATTTTACCTACCAATATAACGCGACTGTAAGTATTTTTAAACACAAAGCGTTGGACTGAGCTTAGCACAGAGATATACGCACCGGCATAGTCCGCACTAACTTGCATGGTTTGTCTTAAAAAATAAATTTAAAATTAAAGTTGAGACAATGAATATGACGAAGTCGTAAAAGGAACTTTTTGAAGTAATGGTTAATTCGAGCTCTTCTGAAGAAGAAATATGATTTTTCATAAACTAATTAATTCTCAGTGATGTCTTGCGAGGAAGAAGTGAAGATTTGGAATGGGTTTTGCTAACTTTAAACTAGACACTGAAGTCTAATGCAAAGAAAAACAAGCTTAAATCTGTTTTTCAGCTTAAAAGTATGAAAGACTTTTTGTTTCTTACATCCTCGGCCAGGTCATCTTGTAAAACCGCAAAACGTGACCTTAAAAATAAAAAGTGAAAGAAACGTTGAAATCTATGGAACGTTTTCTTTCACAGATCGGGCTTGGGTGGCCAAAGTTAAGTGTAGCACATTCATATGCAAAGGAGATTAGTGGCATCAAAATATTTGTTTTTCGGGGAAGTAACTCGAACTGTTTCCAGTAACTAAATTCAGTTTTTGTGATCCGGAAATGAAAGGAGGAAAACAGTAATTGCTTAGGGTTAATTTACTGAGCACGTACGCTTTCTATTTAATGGAAGATATGGTTTTCGTTTTAAAGTGTTCGAATCAATTTAATAACGTAATTACAGATATCAAACACGCAACTACAAGCAACATAGCAAAGAAAACTAAAATGCTCAAAAATTATTTGTGAAAATTGGAAGCCAATATTTGAGTTTAATCTTTCAAGTTAGAGCGCTTAGATTGCCCAAACTTGAGGGACTTTTATGATGGCGGAGTGCAATTTTAATTTTAAATCAACACGCAGGTTTTGGAGCTGTTCTTACTGAAAATTATGAATGAGAAAAAAGTGTAATTGTTAAAACAAAAGGCGATTAAACGACAGATACCCTTACTGTTGGGTTTCCACGAAAAGAGATCGCTTCGATTACAAAATTTATAGAATTTGCGAACACTGTTTAAAAGGTACTAGACCTGTCTAAACTTTTATTTCTTACAACTTTTAGGTAAAGATGATTTAATACTAAACATAAGTATATATATGTAGATATATAATTAAAATGAGGTTCAAAGGTTGGTCATTTATTTCAAAACGAACCGAGATAGTTTATTTACAACAGCCGCTATCCTCGAGGAAAATTTTCCATGCGAAACATGATAACTTTCGTTTTTCAATGTTGTTGACAGTTTCTACTACATAATTTCATCGTTTAAACGTAAGAATAATGTGGAGGCTTAGTTGATATGACTGTTAAAGTGATGTGAAAAGCGAAAATTCCGAAACTGACGAAAGAAACAAAACAAGAATGCACTTAACCTTAGCCAGTGTTGAATTCACCAAAAATCTCACAGTCATTGACTTGTCACCCAGTTGTGCCAGGTCAAGGTTAGGTTGATAATTAACCCTTTGTGAGGTGACTTTCTCTCTGGATATTTCCCAGAATTCTAAATATGTCCGTATTATGAGAAGTCTAATTTTATGGTTTATCTTGATTTTTCTTCCAGTGATCTCTCGTCAGATGACATCACAAAGATTCCTCCAGGAACATTTGAAAACTTTACTTCGCTGCGATACCTGTGAGTACTCGTAATGTATTCATGTTGCATGTTGAGGCTAAAAGAGAACACGAACGATTAAAGGAACTTAAATATAGAATCTCTCTTTGAATTAATACACATATCGTTTGTTCTTTGCAGATCTCTCGCAAACAATTCTATCAGATATCTTTCGAGACATTCCTTCAGAGGACTTCGCAATCTTCGAGAATTGTATGTATTGGTTTTTTCTATTTCTATTTCCATCATAATGTGTGATGACAGCTTAGATTATTTGATATAAAATATTTTTGAGCCTCATTTACACTGGCATTAACCTTGGCTGGATCACTTCTCAACGAGAAGTTATTGTAGACAGATTTCCCTTCAACCCTTTACAAATCATCGACTATCAAAGTTTCAAAGTAGCATGCCAGTTTTCTCATTAAACGAGTGGGCTTAGCAAGGTTAAAATGTTTTCCTAAATTTCCATCAGCACATACTGCGTAGGACATACAACCAAGGAACACTTGTCAAAGGAAAACATTTCAACATGTACAGGGCCTAAGGTCACCATGCGTTGTATTTTAAAAAAGTGATGTTCATGCTCTTTGGCGATATTTCGTGTCTAACTAATTGTTTCTTTTTTTTGCAAAAAGTTCTTTTCTTTCACGAATTTTCCGAAATTGTATAGTCCAACCATAATATTGACAATAATAGGTAAAGAGCGTTCAGACTTCAATTGAGTGTCAAAAAACCGAAACCAAAGTAATCCCAGGGACCAATCAGAGCAAAGTTTTATATCATCATTAGCCAATAATAGGTCAAAGTGAAAACCAGCAAACTGCTTGAAGCGCGGGTAAACGCGAATGACCTAGTCGCGATTGTTCTAAGTTTTGTGTTGAGAAGGATGGTTCTAGTTTTCTGGATCAATTAAATAATAAGAAAAAGCAAAGCCAATGCAGTCCTGGCTGACTTTCGACACGCATTAAAAATTTCTCTATAATTTAATTCAAAACAATGTTCTCGTTTTAATCGATATTACAACCTTTATTTATTTCAGAAATCTGAAGGACAACGGGCAGCTGATTATAGACAAAGACGTGTTCGAAAGTCTTCCATCTCTGCAAATCATCGGCGTGGATAGCAAAAATCTTCAAAATCTGTCCGAGGAATTTCGTAACAGGTCACACTCAGTCAACGTAACCATCGATATAAAACAGGAAAAAGTCCATTGCGAGATCTACAAAAAGCCTACAGACGAGTGTATAGCAAATGATTACCCCGTCTGCAATGACGCTATGGACATCAGAGAAGATGTCATGAAACTCTCTCCATTTCCTAAACATTCGTGCGTACTTGCAAGATGCGAGAACAAACAGAAGAAGATCAAAGTCATTTGTGTAGCTTCTAAAATAAATAACACATGTTGGCCAGGGATGATTGGTGAAAACACTGGAGTAAAATTGGCGTTATGGACTTTCGGTCTTCTTGCAGTCGCCTCCAATCTCCTCGTTTTGGGGACCTTGTTATGCAACAGCGAAGTTCGCCGTGCACCTCTTTGTATTTTCGTCATGAATTTACTGCTGGGGAACATCCTTATTGGTGCGCACATTGTCATAGTAACGGTATCTGATACGGTTACATACGAGAACTCGTCCGAGTGCCATAAAGAACGATGGGAAGCCAAGCTTTGTGTACCGCTGTTCATCGTCAAGTACATCGGGCTCATAGTTGTTGTGCTTTCTCTTTTGCTGGTCACAGTGGAGAGATTTCTCGTTGTCATAATCAAATCTGCTCATTATATTGATACTTGCCGAGCTGTGGGCTACGTGTTCGAGAGTTGGATATTTGCAACCATAGCCACAGTTGTTCTGTGGACTAAAGCGGGAAACTGGGGCTATCTTTGCTCTACATTTGCCAGTGGAAAATCCTTCACAGACATAAACAGAGGAATAAATTTGACTCTTGTTAGTATTTGCGTGGTACTTATATTCCTTCATATTTTTATGATTTGCCGAGCACCACGTAGAGATCCTGTACTATCAGCGACAACGGATTATAAAAACACTGTTCGCATGTTCCTCCTTGTATTATCGACGTTTTTCGCCTGGGCAGTTCCGTACACGCTTATTCTCTTCACAGTTCCTGCAATATTAACTGAAACAGTAGCTATGCAAAGTATGGCTATTTCGCTTTCTTTAAACGCTTGCCTTCATACATTCCTGTATTCATTTGATAACGATCATTTGGAAAATCTGTACCGCGCTTTGTCCTGCCGAAAAGAACAGAAAGAAGATGAGTTGGAAGCAGATGATAGTAAAGACAGAAAACGTGATACAGAAATGGGCCCTTTACCTTCAAAGAAATCGCTAGAATCTTTATCAGTGGTAGAAGTTAAAAGCCCCATCAACAAAGAAGCTTGTGTAAAAGTATTACCTGTTACTGAAATTAGACAAGAATCGGAGCAGCAAAGAAGAGGCTTTGAATTCTCCAAGGCCGAAGGCGCAGTGATAATTACGAATAAATCTCCTACAAACTCTCGTCACGAAGAAGCTGTTGTTATGTTACACTCAGCTCCGTCGTCTCCAAGCACTTTGACGAGGGTCGGCCGAGTGCAAGACGAAGGAGTGAGTGATTGCGGTACGATATCCTCCGACACCAATGTAACTTGGCTGAGCAGCGAATGCCCCAGCATGTCTCCAAGTTCACCAAATGCACTTCTGAAAATCAACGACGGAAACTCGACACTGTCGAGCGATATTTCATCAATTACTCCGTGCCTTCAACATCCAAAGAAAAAAGGCAATTCTATGGAAAAAGACGCGAAAAGACATCGTCTTTCTAAAGGATGCGCGGGTTCTTCATTGGACCAATGCGATGGCGACAACGTTAAAGGTGAATCAACAAGAGATGAAAATCAAAACACGAAGAGAGATCGACGAATGAGCCCAGTGCGTGATATTATTGTTCGTGTTCTATCGCCTAAGCTGAAAAAGAGGCCGAAGACTCTCGAATGCGTTCCGACGCACGACGATTCCAAAACCGAGTTGCCGCCTCCTCACAAACGGACTAAATCGCTCTTAGAAGGGAAAGATGTCGAAGATTTGAACGCTAGTGATGGCAACAGGAGTCCATTGAGACCTCTTTCACCTGTGCGTTTCCGGGACAAAAAGCCTAAAGAGCGTTCGAAAGAAAAACGCAACGGTGTTTTGGTGTTTCGCGCCGGATCGGATGGTTTAGAAATTCATGAAGATGTTACATCACCAACGTCTTCAAGGTCCACAATGTGTGGAGAGAAAACTAAACAAGATGGACCCACCTCTCCTAAATCTGCAAATAAAGCGACGGACTGGGAGCGGCTAGCGACGTTTTTAGTCATTAAACCAGTTGCCCCGAAATCAAAAATAAAGATAAGCGACAAAGAAAAAAAGAAAGCTGGTAATAGTCACACAGATACTTCATCAAAACCTGCAGAAAGGATAAGGATTTACGAGAATCCTGCGATCAGCTTGGAGAGTGAATCTGGCTCACCAGCTTATGAGCCCCGATGTACTTCTCCTCAGTCTCCCACTAGAAGGTTGGCCAAACTTGAGGAGGGCGATAAACTCACGGACCTTCCAACAGGACTAAAGCAGAAAAATCGAATCAGCACCGCTTCCACGGTATCGCGGGTATCTAAGTCAAGTTTAGAATGGGATCCATCTTGCGCTTACGAGTATGGTGATGAAGAAGTCATGCCTCCGCCGCCACCCCCACCCCCTCAGCCTATACCCGACCTACCCCCCACACCCCAACCGAGTCCTGGGCCTGAGAGAAAAGCGGACTCCGCTGACCATGTGGAGTGCGTCCAAGTGAGACTTGACCCAGCTCATCGATACAGCCTTGAATGGGATCCGACTGGCGTTCAAATGAGGCTGAGTGTTATTTCTCAAGATTCTAATGCAGAGGGGAAGAAAAGTGCCCCTTCACGACAGAAAACAGAACCAGAATACGTTTAAGAAGTGCTCATCGTGTGCAGAAGCCGGGCAAGTAACAATCTATCTAACTGATAGATTTAAAATTGTGATCCATGAATCATTTTCGCTCGCGAACGGTTGACCGTGTATATCCTAGCTCAAACTAGGGAGTATCCGGTGATATACCCCGAGTGATATTCCCTAATTTGCAAACCTTACGTCCACCACGATAAAAGTCTTCATTCAAGATGAAAGCGTGAAGCTGTTGTCATATAAGAAAGGACTTGCGTTTTCGTTCACAAAGTCGAACGAGAGAACTCTCAGAAGTAGACATTCCACACGCAGCAAACAGTAAGCTATCCGTTAACATTTTTTTCCAGTGTGTTGCGAAAATGTTTGATGGATAATAGTCACATTAAGCTTCATTGGGCGCGAAAAGATGCTCGTGCATTTTTCTTTGGACATTAAACAAACTGTTCGCATCTCGGAAGAGATGATGTCCTCGGACAAAAACCCGAACATATTTTCGCCCTAAATGAAGGCTATTGTTTACATTAACTCACATTCGGTTAGAATTCATCCAAATTATAAGTTATATTTATATCAAAGTGTTTCTAGAGGACACGAAGTAAACAACATAAATTCTTAGCCAAGCAACGTTCAAAGTATCGTTTATCTCTAAGCAATTTTATATTGGCGTGACCTCAGAAGATCTCTCCAAATAGCGTTTATCTCGAATACTTGTTTTTGTAGTTATTTGCGAAAAAAGGTTGAAGTTTTACGTTTTCGATTGGTGCTTCAATCCTCTACAAATACTAAACAAAAAACCCCTCCTTTAATAAAATGGATGCGACAACTTCAAAATTTTCCCCTTGCTAACATTGCTGAGGGGGAGAGAATTCGTTCAAGCAATTTTGTCGAAGTTTGGATAATTTATTCGAGTTGAAAAAAAAACATAAAACGACAAACAACCGCATTTCTCTAAGAGAAGTATTTGTTCGATTCATTTGAATCGCCTTTTAATTTGAACATTTTCAAAATTAAATGGTATCTGTTAAGATACATTTTTAAGTATTTGGAATTTTCCAGACATTTTAGGTTCACTCATTAATAAATTTATCATTTCGGTCGTATTAACGAGTTGTGCGCACCAATTATATAATTCATAACTTTAAAACAATAGCTTGGTTTTAACGAGCTACTAAGTAGTGGAGAAATTTCCAAACCTAACAGATTACACGACAGTGTAACTAGACAAGTTTTTCTTTAAGGAAACGCTTCAACACTTCGTTTACACTGAAAGTTCTGACTCGATGAGTAGTAGAGTTAAAAGACTTGTTTTGTATTCGAAGATGATTGAAAGAACTTATGAACAATTTAACCAAGCAACCCAAAGTCTACTCGGTCAACAGCTGAGAAAGACAAAAAACTTCAAGTTGGCTTTCGAATCCTTTATAGGAAAGGAAAACGAAGACTTCGTTCACTTGAAACTAGACTTCTATCGTATTTCTGGCTTAACACGAAGTATACCAGCAATCACATAGACTTCTATATCGTAAATTTTCTTATTTCCATCCGTAGCGAACATACGTGTTATGAGTAGGTAGTGACAAGCGCACTGACCGCATTTCGTTTGAAATATTTTGTAAGTTATACTTTAAGTTATTACGAAAGAGCGTGTTGTATATATATAAAAGTAACAACTTTAAGACTAAGTATTGAGTAATATATGAACTGGAATTGTCTAGGATAAATATTTATGCAACGAAGTTTAAAAGTAAAATCCATTGTAAAACATTCACACTTTCCATTTAGCATTTATTTTTCAATGTTTTCAAACTAAGACTGCCCCAAGTAGTGCCAGACAACTGACTTCCGAGTTAGCCGCGCTGGTACATCGACACCGTGGTTACGTATTTCCCGCGGTTTGCACTGTTCACTCGCTTGACTACGGTCATGAATTTTCCATTTAGCACATTGACACAATGGTCGTGTATTCCCCGCGCTTAGCAAAGTTTCCCTGCTTGACTCTGGTTCGGTGTTTTCCTACGCGTGTCACAAGTTCCATGTTACCGAGATTCTTACTCCATCACCTGTTTGTCACTGGTTCCATGTTACCGGTGACACATTTGGTTCCATGTGACTTTGACACTTGGTAAGGCATTTCCCCGTACTCAGCACTATTCCCTTGCATGATATGACACAGCCTTAGGAGCGAGTAGTCACGTGTTCCCAGTATTTTCCGTATATTTGATACCTTTTTCCGCTCCTGGCATCTGTTAAATGACCAATCACGACATTAAAGATCGTAACTTTTACGATGCGAAATTTCCAAACAATCTTTTTCCTTATCTCTCTTCGGGAAGACTCAGCTCGAGAAATATAATAGATATAACAAACCACTGGAATGTCAAATGTAAATCTTGAACTCAGCAGAGGACCGCGACCCAGCGGAATGACGAGTAACCTTCCGTCCAGCTGAGGTGGAAACTGTCACCTGATCACGTTGCAACAGTAACTCAACCAAAGAATTCAGAAAAGGAGCCACTTCCTAAGAACAGAGGAGGATTATTTAAGTATCATTCGCCTCCCATAGATCTGCATAATGTTTTTTTTTTGTCTTTTTGCTTTTTTCATAGACCGAGACAAGTTTGGGGCCCTTAAAAAACTGCCGGAAATATTTCGTAATCTTTTCTCATTCTCTTGATTTCACGCCGAACTAAAAATAAACAAAATTCTACCCTTAATGGAGAAGAAAGAAAGACGGTATCAATAATGAGCTCCAGCGCGAGTTTTCACGTTTCTAAATTTAGTTTTTTTACGCATGTTTGATGCCGGGCGAATAATAACAATTATAACAAGACAGACCTAGTTATTACAGCAAAAGAAGTGAAAGACATTGGCAATTTTTCAAGGACCTTTCTGTTAACAGGCATATTTTCGTCTTTCAGGCTTACCACTAAACCCCTGAAAAAAAACTCGCAGATAATTCTGGATCAGCCTAAATGCTATAATCGGCTTTGGAAAAACCACAGCCACAAGTGTACGACTTCCTAACGTTAATCGATTAAGCTCAGAAGCCATTAAAGTTAATCCCAATTGATTTTACGTCAGGCTTGATAAGCTGTTCACCATCCTTTCTTCTCCATGACCTGCTTGCATTTACAGAGCATTCCGTGTTTTCACCCATCATTTCATCACAAACATACACACATTGTTTGCGCTTATTCAACTTAACCTTCCCTCTCCCAAGATCTCACCAGTAATTCTCCTTACTCCATGCCATACAACTACTATAATGAAAGTTCGGAGAATTTGGCATTGGTTCAACCAATAAGATAATCCCCTAATTCAATTGTTTCTTTAATATCATCTCTTGTTTGGTTGATATTGTACTGATATTGTAATGAGAAATTCTGTTTTGGTCACACATGGGAGTTCAAGGGTTAATCGTCACCTTTCGAGGTGTGATTACAGAAATTCTCCTTTACAGTTACCACATTTTCCTTAAAAAAAAGTTGAGAGAATTTGGCTCACTATGACGGAAACACCCTCCAGTTGACAAGTTTTTCAATTCTCATTTCCCCTCTGCTGCATATTGTCTTGAGATAATTGGGAGAAGTTACATGTTGATCTTCTGTAACTACGGGCCCTCTTACCATGACTCCCGCCCGTCCGTCCAAGGTGCGACTATCTGCCAGTCGTTTACCAGTAACATTTGCAATTCGTAGCACAGGAACTTGCCATTGTTCTTCAAACTCTCGAATTTCCTGTTCTGTGAAATCACTGTTCAAGATCTGGTCCAGTTTGTTTCAAGTTAAGGTCGCTGTCAAACCACAAAATCCCCAAGAAGATCGCTGCATCGTCTTTAAGCTTAAAAAGTGGATTATTGTTAATCAGGATTAAGTGCGAATGCATGGGCTTCAGTTCGTAATCGTATTTTTTGAAGTGTTTCTCACTAATCGCATTCAGACAAAACAATTGACTTGATTGGTCAAAGGGCACGCTTAAGTCCAGGACCTACAGATGGAAAATTCCGTCGATAACATTTTAGAAACCACTTAAAACAAGACTTAAAAGATAGCCTGGAATGCTTAATATATCAATTGTTGAAGAGGGATTACTTTAGAGATGACATGTGTGTCAAATCCAAAACATGTACGGTTAAAACAAAAATTGACCCGGAAAACCTAATTTTAAAGCATTTTCCACCTAAACACGACATGAAAATACGGGCACGCATAGATATAACGTCTAGGATTCTTTCATTCTCAGACGATCCCAGGTGGCCCGCTTCTAGTTCACCATCAGCATATCTTAATCCCTGACGAAGTATAGGTTCGGCAAAAATACTTTATAGGTGTGGTCAAATTATTTCTATCAAAGAACGGTAATCGCTTTCTGTTTTGGTCAGAGGTCGTTCAATTTTCCAGATTTTCACGAAATTGAGAAACAAGGTAAATTGTTAAAGAATCTGAGGGAGTTGACCAGCTTGATGAAGTATTTGAAAGAAAGGATATCTAGTTGCCACAGCTATCCGCAGGATCTTCTCTTCTTGATCCAGAACGCGATTTATCTGCAGAGGAAGTATTCCACAATGAGATATCAATAATATTTCTTTATTATTATTATTATTATTACTATTACAAAGTATTCCTAAAGAAAGGAATTTCTGCAAAGAGGTATTGGATTTGAGTAACACACGAGTTTTCAGGATACTAATCACTACCACTTGACATTGTGGTGTATCTTTAACAGAACACATAATTACATTTGCAAGGAATTTATAAATTCCCCACAAGAAAATAATGTACATACTCATTTTAGACAAGCTATAACAACTATCTCTCTATTTTTGTCTGAAATAGTTGGAATGTTGCATTCCACTGTTCAACCAAAACTCAGATCATTAACAGACTCTCTCCCAGGACAATAAAAGGAAGGACCTTAGTGAGGACATTGGTTCATATCTATCTGAGTTTATCTCGCTTTTAACAGACTTACCTGATTTGGCAAATCATCAAAACTTCCTCTGCAGAAAATAGATCAGATGATTCAGATGATCAGATAATTCAACCAAACATTGATAGGCTTTTCTAATTCTTTTTTTTTTTTCAAATCTGTTGGTCACCAATTGACAGCTTTCTCTGAAATTTTAGTTACCAGATATATTTTCTATTTGCCATGGCAACAAACCTGATTGCAGCTTGGAATCCTGATTTGTAAACCACTCAAAGTTCACACAACATTGAAAAAAATTCAGAACTTCACATATCACAGCTGGATGTGGTTTTCATACATATTTTATAGATATTTTGAGTTAAGGTACACTGCTAACAGCTGTCAAGTACAGTTAACCCTTCAACCCCTAAGAGTGACTGGCATCTAATTTCTCTCTATCATGTCACCCCTGAATCAAACATTAAGATCAGGAGAATAAAGGAACTGATCACCAACTAAAGAAGCTCTTGATTGTTAAACAAATTCTCTTTGTCAGCACCTTAGGAAATGTATAGAGAACAGTATGGAGAATATGCATACTGATGTTGGGGTGTAAAGGGTTAATGTACCAGCATTACACACTGTGTACCTGTCTGTGAATGAGAACAAGAAAAGTGCTGCATCAGCTTTCTCTTTGAGAGCCTATGGAGAGAACAATGGGCTCCATTTACTAAAAGGCATTGACCAGAAACAAAAACTGCATAAAGGCCTTGTGTGAATCCACAAAGCAAAATTTGCCATCCCTGCACTTCAGTGGCAACAAGGTGATAAAGACATTTTATGATTACTCTCTAATTTAGTAAAATTCACTGTTTTTGCTTCCCATCCAGAAGGGGGCAGGAATGTTGGCTAGACTACAAGGAGTCCCTTCTTTTGGCCAAAAAAAATTAACTAATTAAATAAGAAATTCCTGAAAATAATTATAGCTATAATTCAAACTGTGTCTTACTGGTAACAGATGGTCATATTTTCTGATGGCATGTTCACCACAGTCCCAGAATTGAAGCTTAAACATCACAACTTTCTGATTCTCTTTCAGCTAGGTAATGAGATGAATTAAAGAAAAGTTTATTACTATAACAAGTTTGGAATAAAGTTTGTACACTGTCATTAGAAAACATCACCTAGGGTATTCTTGCAAGATGGAGCAAGATATGAAGTTGATGAGGATCATGAAGTCATAGATCAGAGCATTGTGCTCATCTTAGCAAATACCTTTCATGTTAATCAAAAAGGTTAGTTATTAGAGACTGCCTCTTAATTTATTTAAGAAAAAAAAACACATCATGGTCTTGTGAGCAAACAGTTCTGTTTTTTTTTTCATTTTATCCATTGGGCAAAGTAAAACAGCTCAGGCCCAGTCCACATTTAAAACTGGATTTAATGGGGGCTGTATAAACAACAACAAGGCCAAACCACAACAATGGGAGCAATGTTCTTTGCTAGAAGCGTCTGGGTTCTTCAGGAGACAAGGCCTATGGTTTTTTTTGCTCTTATCCGAAAAGCCCAGAATGTCTAACTATTTGCAAATGTCACAGCAAAGATAGCACAATCTCCACAGTTATTTTAAGACCCTGAGTGTTGGTCCAGTCTGGGTTTAACCCTTGACCTCCCACAAGGCAGTTCAGCACTCTATGACATAAGCTTACCATGAAGAAACTTAAAACTGCATAACAGCACTGATGCTGAGGTTGTTTAGTGTGGTACAAAAAAAAAACCCTTATAGATAAATAACCCAAGGGATTGAATATTTGCATGCATTGCAAAGATCTTAATAATTAATAAACTGCATTTTGTGATATTTTAACCATATTTTGAAGAATAGGGTGGTTCACTGAATGCCAGCCAACCACTGACTTTATTGCAGGAGGAGGAAATGTTCTTGTGGCAATCACTTGATCAATCAACAAGTAACACCAATTTTAAGTAGAAAATTGAACCAGGTACAACTTAGCCAAAGTATACAGAAATTTAAAAAAACTTGTTCCAGTGTGCAGCATTAGGCTAAACTAGACCAGATCTTTGTGTGCATGGCATATTAGTAGCTGACTTTACGTGTGAATTATTTCAGTGTGCCTCTTACTTGAAAAAAAGTCTTGTGCACAGAACAACCATAGTCTGGTGCCTACAGTTTACCTGAAGCCTACAAATATGCTATAAGGTACCATAATTGAATCAAAGTTCAGAGTTCTCAACTGATTATTCAACTTACTTTTGCTGGCCAGTATATCACCGATGTCTGAATACCTGGAGTTTCGACGTGATAACTGGAAATTTCTACAGAGGACCAAAGAAAATTCTTCTATAAGACAACACAAAACTCCCTGTTGACACACCTTCAAACATCCATGAAACAAGAAATATTAACTGCTATTAACTTTCCACAAAGCTCTGCTTGATAGTTGCAGTACCTTGCCCTAACAGCTTTGCTACAGTACTCGTTTTTCCAACAGCTGGCTTCCCCGTTAAGAAGATCTTGTAGGACACATTTTCGACGGGAAGTTGCGGCGGTAAGCTTGGGGCTTCAAGTAATCCTACAGATAAGAAAAAAACCATCAATACATTCAAAACCATGATTGGATAATTAAAATTTTTGAGCATGGCATACCGAAAGATTTTCTTTTGTTTCGATGCAAAATTCCTCCTAAAAACTCTCGTCCTTCTGGCGTTTCCTGCCATTTGAACTGTACGATAGACCCTCTTGGTCTAAAACCCGCCATATGAAAATAATTGTATATCCTCTTATACGCAGTAAAGACAAAATTCACTTTATGTTTTGACCGCCATATTGGAATAATTGACGCATGGCAAGACTCAGTAGACTGATGGCAAAAACAGTAAATATTGCAGGCTCTTCAGGCCATGATCAGTAGTCGCGCCAGTCTCCCTCCGTATTAAAATTAGCTTCATAAAGCTGTCATGGATTTTCGACTGAATATTGACAAGAGAAAACACATTAGCGCAAGGGTGGTTAGTATGTTGGGAAAAATATCACTGCAAATTGCGGTTGAAGCTGTGGACTACTAAAGAATCTTTCTGACTGGTAAATATGATTTATGAAAGCCTAACTAGTGAAAATCTGGTGAGCCGATTTCTCTTCGCGCCAAAATTTTGAAGTGAGTGACGATCTAGTTTTTCAGGTGAGATTATTCTTGTGCTTGATTGCGATTTTTAGATCAGTAAATAAGCCTTCAAAATACAGATTGCGAACGTTTCTGGAATGAAGAGAATATATAATCCAAGTTTTTCTATTTCGTTTTCGTTGAGTAAGCTGTTTTCTTGGATCTGGAACGAAAGTCATTTTCATGACCGAGAGTGACGTTTTTGGTATTTACGAGTCAATGATCTTGTTTTGCAGTATCGGCACAAGGATTAAGCTTATGGAAGATCTGATAAATAGTCATTCGCACGTAGGAGGTAAAAAAACGCCTATATCTAGCATCAGATCATCGTTAAATTAGCCACATTTTCGTTCATCTAGAATCATAGTTTTTCTTATGTGCATTCACATTAATGGACCGAAGGCGTCGTAAACATATTTGTTCGTTTTTAAAATCGATTATTGGTTTCCACGCAGATCAGCCGATATTTTCGTCTCTTAGTCAAATCAATTGATAGCCATTCCGCTTTATTTCCTTAGGTAACGGATTGTCATCCACTTTTTTTTTGTTCTAGGACATTATTAAATTCTGTTCGAAAGCGATCGATTTGTATAAATGATGGTTTCACGATCTCTATTAATACATAGTTCGCAGGCAATCTGAATGGTAATTTTTTCCATATTATTTATCTGCCAAATAAAAAGATTATTATACAAACATGTTCAGCTGCATTACAGATGAAATCGAGTTTGAAATTTTTGACACTGAGTGATTTTGAGTATGTTGCCATGACCACTTCATTACTTCAGAAGTATTTTGAGTTTGCATAAATTTTGTGTTTGCACATGGATGAGCAATTGCAGCAAAAAATATCAGAATTATAAAGTCACTCAGAGAATAGGTCATGCAGATAAGCCTCATACAAACTTGTAGACCAAAAATGAAATAGATTATGATTTGTCATTGATTTAAGTTTAATTAATAATTGTAATAAGACGGAGTGGAGTCCAGTTCAGTCTGTAATCACACAAGTGATTAATAAAATTAGACAAACACAAAGCCGGAGTATGATTTGTTCATCAGGAGTATGATCACAGACAGAATTGGACTCTTCTCAGTCCTATTACCAATTAATCAAAACTATAGTACAGAGAGAGAAACTAGATGTCACTTACACATTTTTATTACAAAAACAACAATTAACTGAGCAAAATGCAAGACAACAGGATGCCTAGATGTGGAGTACTGTCCACTTACTCAGGCATCACTTGTCAACTGTGTTATTACACTGTCCAATTACAAGTGTGATGTGTTCACTGTCCTATCAACACTCAAATGGGGCTGGTGATAACCAATCCCTTGTAAGAATTTTGTTATACAATGTCATGTAGTTTTGATTAATCAAGTAAGTTAAGTGTGAGTTCCATTTATATAAAGGCTGTCATGGCTACATATACTGGATTACTTGAGGTTGGCCTATGGTAACAAAATAATTGATGAGGACTGGTGCAAAATGGGCATGGGTCCAGTCTAAACATATCGTGACTGATGGATGATATGTCCAAATGATGTTGATGGCACAGAAAATAAAACACTTAGCTAAACATTAAAGCAAAGTCATAGACTTTGAGGTTAGAGCCATCTTGATTATAGTGATTATTCTTGTAGGAAAAGGTGAGAGAAAAGAAACTTAATGCCAACTAAGATACCATTTCAAGTGGTTTACAGTTCCAGTGCTGATGATAACCATCGTGAGAAAGAGCTAGAGGTGCAGTAATAATTTAACCAACAAGAATATAGCATAACAGTGAAGAACAACTCATTAAAAAAACCTGTCTGCCAACAGACAGTTGACAGTTGTAAATCTTTCAGTGATGGGCATTCATCATTCAATTGACTGTAATCATTATGTGTATTCATTGTTAAAACGGTAAAAACGAATGATAAAATCCGACGTTTTGGAGTAGTCATGACTCCATTATCAAGGTAAAAGTTTAAAACATGCAAATAACAGTATTTAAGCGATGTGGCGCAAAAAATTAACATAATAGGTGCGAAGATTATACAAATACTTTCGCACTAAAAGAGTCCAATTCGAGTCTGATAATGGAGTCATGACTACTCCGAAATGTTGGATTTTATCGTTCGTTTTTACCGTTTTATCTTTTAAGAAATCTCTTTTGATACATATTCATTGTTGTTTCTTATAAATAATACATTATAGGACATTAAATCATGTTCCTCAGTATATAGGTGTGATGTATGACCAAGTGCTGGTCATTCATTTCTGTTGTTTATGAGTGAATGCTAGATATGATATGTTCAGTATTTTGGTATGCATCCTGAAATCATGGTTCAAGCAAAGGGGTAAACTCACTGTTCTTTGCTAAACACGACATATTTTTAGTGATTGTCACTAACCTCAGTCCTTTTCAGGAGTGCCCCTGGCCTTTGCCATCGAAACTTCTCAATAAATATAAGTCAGTACATACAGCATGTACAAACAGTTACGTATTGTGACCTCTCCCACAAGTTAAGTCAGGTTGTTCCTGAAGTTGTGTGTTTATTTTAGCTAAACATGTTAACTCACAGGGCATTGTTCAAAGTAATAAACTGGCCTCACCTGATTTTTAAAAATTCTTTCTTTAGTTTCATAGTCCCACAACAAAAGGATGGCAGTCATCCAGGTACAATACTGTAATAATTAGAACTGTATATACCTATGAAATCTGATCTTTCAGTCAATTTAAACTGGATGTTTTTTTTTTTTACTAGATACATGTAGATAAATATATTTTAGGCAATGATGATAGTTTGTTCTGAGGTTAATCTCAGAACATCATATCATCCGAAAAAATATTGTATCATTTCTGTAATTTTTGTTATTGTTGATTTTAGACTCATCATCATTATCATTATCACTATTGCTATAATCATGCCTTCAGTTGACATTCTTGTGATAAGAATGCCAACTTAATTCATTAACTACTCTTAACCCATGGTGAGAGACTCAATGACCGATGATTATAGGTCTGGGTTCTAGTCCTAGCTGGGTCATTGCATTGGTGCATTGTTTCCTTCAGCAAAACACTTTCCTCTCAAAGCACCTCTCTCCACCTGAATTATCAGAGAAGCCTGATGAAATGCTGAGGGAAATTTTTGCAATAGACTGGTATTCCATGTAGGGGGGAGTATATGTGGTAAAACTCCTTGCTGCTTCATGCTATGGAAACTTATGACAACAAGTAACTGTATTGTCCATCAGGTTCTGTCTTTATCCTCAAGAACTGGTGTTGCTGATGAAAGAGTCAGTGCGCATAAGGAAACTTCAGATACTCTCCCATCAGTTCATGATTTGTAAGTTATGTTTTGTGGTATAACATGTTAGTCATTCATTTTGTCACAAGAGTAGAAAAAATAATCTTAGTCTTGATGAGGAATTGAACCCCACACATAGAGAGCAAGCAGTTTTCAAGAACTTAAATGCATGAACCCAAAGCAAATACATGTGCCATGTACAGTGAAATGCATGTACCATGTACCTTTGAATCAAAGCAAATTTTGCTGGGTAGTATATTTTCTGGTTCTCTTCATCCAGCTTCTTGGCAAATGAGAATAAAAAGTGCTGTCATGCTGTAGAAAGTCACCTGCAATTAATCAGCAGGCAATATACTTGTCACTTTGATAAAAGAAATGATATATAAATGATTGCAGCTAGTAAAGTGGAGGTATTAATCAGCAAAGTACCTAGTGGACAGTCCCCATCATTACTGACATCCAAGTTTCAACGGCTTGGGTGAGTTAGTAAATCTTGTATCTGAAAATATGTTGTCAAATTGTTTAAATGATTGATAATAAATTATGATATTATCTAGAACAAAGCTTTATTAAAGGATCTTATTGAGGAAAAGGAAATCTCTGTGAAAAGGTTCAGTTGCAGTGTTTGCTTAGATTTAAAACTTCACATACCTTCCAATTTTTTGCTTTTCTTTCACCATATTTCCTTACAGTTTTGACACTTGATCAATCCTTTGATAATGGAGATTTTCTTGTATTTGATAGTGTTTTGTACACATAGTCTTCCTGTACAATAGTACAGCTGTATGTAAGATTCAATTTTGGTGTTATATTCCTTGCATCTTAAAGATACTGTAGAGATAGATTGAAGATATAATGATAAATACATTTATGTGTTCAGTTACCAGAAAAGGATTCTATCATAAAATATGCCAAGAAACAGAAACAATCATAGATTGATTGGTTGTTGGACTACTGTTTCTTAGAAGTTACTTTGAAAAAGAGTAACTCTTAAGAGTATTTTGAAGTCTGTTAATATGACCATTCTCTTAAAGGTATGTTGGACTCTCAAACAATGAAAATACTGACTTTAAGGTAAAATAATTTCCAATTTGTTTGTTTGTTTTTCTGTTGTTTTAAGTTGTCTTATGCTGTGGTCAATTGGCAAAATGTGTAAACATGGCTATTTATTTTTAGAAGAACTGTAACATTTTATTTGATTTTCCAGGCCAGAGAACTGAAATCCATTCACCTGGATGCAGAGGGTCATTTTGTGAAACTAGTCTTACACAAGAATCATGTAAACAAGTACAACATTTTCAATCAGGTATGTTACATGTGGGAGACTTACTGGCCTGATGTTAAGTGTAATAGACTCTGGGATGTGAGTCCTTGTTTGAGAGCTGGCTTGATTGATGTGTTGTGTTCTTGGGCAAAACACTTTACTCTCACAATGCCATTCTCTACTCAGGAGTAGAAATGAGTACCACTAGTCGCTACTAGTAGATATTTTGTATGGATATGCAGAATGCACAACATCTCTCCAGAAATAAAAAACTTCCCCCTCTTCTTCTCACATTATAATGCATAACTCATTATTATAAAGAAAAAACATGCTTAAAACAAGCACAACATGCATTTACTTAGTGTTTTCTTTAATTCTGTTTACATATAATTTGATGTTTGTATCCTTTTTTCCTGCACTCTTTTGTTTTCTTTTAAACTACCTTTTTTCCATAAATTGTAAGTAGTGCACTCTATACACTGTAAATGTTTTTTTTTTTTTTCTTTTCTTTTCTTTTAAAATATATATTTATCTGTTTAGTCACTCTTCAACCAGTATTGTTTTAATTATTGTATTGCACTGTAACGTACGTATTTGTAAAAAACAGAAAATGTAGGTAATGTAGCTATAGATGTAACTGTACTGTAAGTTATTTTCTGTAGCCGTGATGTAAGTAATATAGCTGTAATTAAAGTAAAAAAAAAAAAAAAAAGGAAATGAGTACCAGCAAATTGCTAGGAAAGGCTGATGAAATGCTGGGGAGTAACCTTAGTGATGGACTGTAATCCCATCCAGGGGGGGGTAATGAAAAGTCGCTTTATACTAGGGAAACAGAGATAAGCTCTGGTTTGGTGGACCACTTAAGTCATGTACAGACATTGCCTTACCTTTATATTACATGTGTATTGTCTTTTTTGGATGTCATTTCAAAGTTGATAGTGTTTTATTTCATTATAAATGTTTTGTAGGTTGGATTGGTTGCTGTGAATGTGATTGGTGATAGGTTGGACACACCCTTTGACCCAGTGGACTCTGATTCAGTAAATAAAGACAACATTGATAAATTTAAATATATTCTGTAATACCATTTTGAGACAAAAAAAGATCTGAGTTCTTTGTGATGAACTAGATGCTGATCTGAATTGACTGTAGGATGCTATACATACATGTATAAACCTAAAATACTATAAATGAAGTCCCAGCAAATTTCACATTTTTCTGAATGAATTCAGCCACCTGCCCAGTTCAGGTCATCCACCTATTACATGTACATTTTCTGATGACAGCTCTGCTTACCCACAGTTTATAACTGTGAGAAATATCCTGCAATCTGAAGTCGCTATTTAGTTTTTTTAGCCTATAGGCTGTGCTTACCAAGAGCTAAAGGAGATATTGTACTTCAGTGTTCAATGAATTTCTGCAGTTGTTGAATTTTTATGAATGTATTTTTGATGCAAAATTTTCAAGGAATTTGGAGTTTTGATTTGGTTTTTCTCAACTGGTTAAAAATGGTAATTGATATTTGGCAATGAGTGGGAAACCATTAAAACAGAGAGAATGAAAGTAAAGTGGTTAACATGCATGATTTTTTGTTTGCTTTCCTAGTTGAAACATGTTGACAGCGTTGTGCAGGGATACATGAGCCCTAATGCAGTCATTGGTCCTGTCTGGGGAAGAATTAACAAGTATGAATCAAAAAATAGATTAAACAATTAAAATTCAAATAATGTTGTAGTAATTGACATTGACAACTTCCAAGGCAGTGTAAGACATTGAAGACTTTGGGTTGAGAGGGATGGGTTCAAGGCCTGGCCAGGTTTTTTTGTTGTGTTCTTTGGTAAAACACTTTACTCTCACAGTGCCTGACTTTCCACCCAGGAGTAGAAATGGTTACAGGTGAACTTTCAGGGAAGCCTGATGAAATGCTTGGAGGTACAATGTAACCTTGCCATGCACTGATATCCCATCCAGGGGGGAGTAGTAGTTACTTCATAATGTGGAAACCAGGACAAGCTCCAACCCCAATGAGCCACTTGCCTTGAAGTTCAGACTGCCTTCACCTTTACTTGACAGTATTTTTTACATTTGACTTTTTTTTTACCTTAGGCCTGATTACATCTCGCGCATGGATGATTTGGCCTTTGACATGTATCAGGTGTGATACAAATTATTTTTGGTAAAGTAGAATACATCAATACTTGACTGTCTTACTCACAAGATTTGATTGTTATTTCTCCTCTTTAGCTACCAGCCATTTCTTTGCAAATAGTTAGGAGAATTTGGTGTTGGATAACAACTAATAATTGATAAGTTTGACTATTCTCATCACCTCTTTGGTAGATAATGTTGGGATATTGTTGGGAGAAGTTATATGTTAATCACGTCTGGGATTTGTTAACTTCAATGCCAAACCTTATTTCCATGCAGGAAAATTTTTTCCATCCCTGCATTTTCCCACAGTTGTCCTTTTTTCCTTCTCCCCTTTCACCCTTTTGCTTTATCCTTCATTTTGCAAGCTTCTCTCTGTCTTACCTTTCCTTCCATTAAAATGTAACTGCCTAATTTCTTTGTGTTGATAACACTTTGAACAGGATGCGGAAACTGCAGCTCTTATCAGGAAACTGGATGAAAGGAAGCAAGGAGCTGTAAAGGGTATGTAATAGTGATTCAAAATGGCTAATGATCATTTAATATAATACATGTTTGGTGTATTTCTTCATTCCTTAGTGATTTTTGTTCAGCAACTTCTTGTTCCTCTTGATCATTTATTAAATTCATTTACAAGTCTAGAATTCTAGTGACCTCCATTCATTTTTAATGTCTAAGTGTCTTTGAGATCTCCTTGCTACTACATCTTCACATCTAAATTATATTTTAAAAGTGAAACACGTACCTCATCATTGTATTGTGGTTTTTGTTTATTTTATCATAAAATATGTACTTATTCTTGTATGATCTTGTAGTAATATTTATACTTCTTGTAAGTTTTTCATTCCTGGATAATGAACTTTAAGTCATTAATGAATCCTTTTTTGATTTGTATTTGTTACTATCCAGGTGACTGTATGTGGCAAAATAGTAGTGAGAATTTTTTTTTCCTTTTACTCTCTTTAAAACAGAGGAAAGATATGACTATGCTAAGAAGCTGACAGCTGTCATCTCAGACTTATATAAGGTCAGAATGACTCTCAAAGGTTAATTTTTTAAATGCTTATCTTTCTGTGCAGTGCTATGAGAAATTTATGGCGATTTCGTAGTGACCAGAAATAATGCAAAAATGGTGTTTTGAAAAAGAAAATCATTTTAGAATTTTTCTGACCTTTTTTCTGTTTAATTGACTTAGTTATTAATTGAATTATTTTTCATCCTTTACACCATAACATCAAATGAATATAAATTTCCTCCATATTTATGCAATCCTTTTGGTATGCACAAGAAGAAATTGTCCAACAATCTAGAGCTTCTTGAGTTTGCAATCATTCCCTTTTTTTTCTTACAACCTTCATGTTCAAGTTAGGGGTAATACTTTTAGGAGAAATTAGATGTTGATGTCTTAGAAATAAAATGGTTAAGGAAAATTGTGAGTCATCTAAATTGCTGCACTAAGGTTTGGGGCTTCATTCATGTCTGGATACAAACAGGATGGAAAGCACGATAATTTTTTTTCTTCCTTAAATCAGTAATTGGAGAGTGCCATATGTCTGTTGACTAAATAAGCCATAGAAGGATTAGATAAAACATTTGTTATTTTTTGACAGGTTGGTGAGAAGCTGGGAAAGTATGAAGCAGAAAAGAAAAAAGCTGTTGAGTTAGAAGATTTTGATCTTGCAATGGAGAAGAAAGTATGTATAACTATTTTTTTTAGATGCATTTTATTGTTTTTATCATATCTTGTAGCTCACTAAATTTTTTTGCATTATGTCTTATTTCCTTAGAGACAGAGTGATGAATTTCGTTTGTATGTTTACAAACAGCTGGACATTCAGGAGCTTTTGGAATTGGATGGGGTGAGCCAAGTCTAATTAAATATCTTCAAACATTTTTGAGGAATTTGGATAAAATTTATATTCATTTAATGTGGCTGATAATTTTTTATTACATATCTTGTTTTAGAGAAAAATACATGAACATAGGTCAATCAATATAAGTAAGTATATTTTGATTCAGTTATAAGGTAACATTTATTTGATCAAAACCCTTTACACCCAAACATCAGTATGCATATTCTCCATATTTGTCTCTAGTAAGGTACTGATAAAGAGAATTTGTTTAACAATCAAGAGCTTCAATTGTTGGTGGTTTCATTCAGGGGTGATATTTTAAGGAAAGATTAGATGTCAGCTACATGTATGCCGTTGACAAATGAAGCACTTTGATGTTTACAGAGCACTTGAGAAACTAGAGTTACTTCTGGTCCCACTTTGAGTAACCTTTTTGCATCTCTCCAAACTTCCCATGTGTTCTATATCAATGAATTCACTGCTGATGCATGGATTAATTGATAGTCATTGTTACCACTGAACAGCTTTCAAGGCTAGGATGATTCTGTAACATTCACTGCCTTACAATTGTCGTTATGCTCGTTTAACCACCAGCTCCACCACCACTGCCTCCAATAGCAACAGATCAGAATAGACACCCTCCCCTTCATCACCATGAGGAAGAGAGGAACAGCCCACCACTGCTGGCACCAATAAAACGACAACCTTCTCCAAGAGAAGACACACCACCTTTGATCAGCCCGAGGAAGGTAAAGGAACATAACAGTATTTTACGGTTAAAGGTTAAAGCTGCCGCGGAGACACTCCTTAGCTTTTTCTATATTTCCCTGAAAGTTTGACAGTAGTCAGGTCAGGTCAGAAGCAGGTCAGAGAAAATAGGCGAATTAAAGCTCATTATATTCTGGAAGAATAAAGGCTCTGTGAAATTTATGAAATATCTTTCTTTGGAACACAAGACCAAAAATCTAAAGGCCGTTTACAGGGTAAAAACAATCGTGTACAGTCCCGCCAAGAAAGGAGTATGAACCCCTAGTTTTGTTTGGGAGGCTACAGACCCTTGTTTTGTAAGGCTTTGATGCCAAAGACGCGTAGTGCTTCAAAACTTGAAAAAACTTGGGGCACATACAACTTTCGTCATTTTGACGGGATTGTGCTCGATCAATCACTTCAAACCATTTTGCCCAAGATAAAGTAAGTTGCTTCTTCCCTTGGGTAGAATTCTTGTGAGAAGAGGCCTACTGTCTGGAATTGTTACCAAAAGTTCTTGAAATGAAGCCCTGAAGCCATTAAGTCCCCATTCTGTGGAAACAATTAGAAGAGTGTACACGCCTTCCCCTCCTCCCCTCTCCCCCCCCCCCCACCCCTTAAAAAAGGGGAAAAACTTAACTTCAGTAAATGAAAAAACTTTTATTTTTTTCATTGTTAAGGATGACGATGCTGATGATCGACCTCTTCCTGCTTTAAACAAAAGGTAAATCCTGTGATTTTTATGGGAATGTTTTGTGTTAATGCTCACAGTTAGTACGTATGGGTAATGCCTAGAATGAGAGAGCTACCGCAACTCATTCTCCACGTCGAAAAAAGCAGTTACTTTTATTCTGCTGTTATATGCAAGACATTTCCTTCAAACACTACTTGAAGTTGGTGTCGTTTTTTTTCTTTCTTGAATTTAGACCCCTTGAGGCTGACCAAGAAGTAGAAGGTGTCAAGGAGCCTCCTGAAAACACTGGTAATTAGCCTCGTTCTTATGCAGATGACAGACGTATAGATGACGTCATCATTAAATCTTTTTTTAATTTTTTATTATATGAAACAAATAGATTCCAAGTTGCCGTGCGTCTGTTCAGTAACAGGTCACAGAGGACGTCAAAATGTGCAACTTGGAATCTATTTGTTGAATATATCTCATGATGAGCCCTAGAAGTTGATAAGTCTTTCTCATAGCTCTCAAAGAATTTACACGTTGTCATTCGCTGATTCGATCTTGTTCGATCTTGTCAACATGGCCTACCTAACAGATTTGATGTACCTTTTTTTTTCTTCACTAATAACTGGTGACACCAAAGATCGTATCTACTGGAAAATGATTATTTAAGATTAAATCTGTGTTTTTGATGCGTGTTTCTCCCACAGATGGACCAGAACCTCTGAAGGAGAATGATCTCAGAGCTGCAGGGTTTGTCATTGAAATTTTTGGTGAGGACTTGGTAAGTGCCTGATGAATAATCACTTTGTTTCGCGTGTATTAAAGTAAGAGAAATTGGCTAAACTGCAGAATACCCGGCCACTTTGGTCCGCCTCACTTACATGTGTCGGGAGGCTTTGAAGATCGAGGCATAACACAATAGACGCTATTCTTATCAATGACATGTAAATGAGTGGTCGGGTATTCTGCAGTTGCTCCGAGAAATTTTCCATTGAGTGTCGAAAGTAAACCAAGATTGCGTTAGTTTTACTCTACTTTGCTCTGTGATTGGTCCAGAAAACTTACGCCACTCTTAAGTTAAAACCAATCACGTCTTGGTCGCCCGCGTTTTCCCGCGCTTTATTCAGTTTGTTTGTTTTTACTTTGAGTTCTCATTGGCTCTTAATAGTATTTTCCTTTCTTTTGATTGGCCGTTGTGATTAGTTTGGATTTGGTTTTGCGACACTCAATTAACGCGCTAAAAGTCATTCAAAGAAAAACGTCCAAAACCCTAAGAGGTACAGTTATTCATGGAGCGTTTTTCGCTGTTTTCGATTTAGGTTCAACATGCTTATTCAAAACAATGGAAATATCGTCAGGAAGCAATGGAGAACGTCGAAAAGGAAATGTCCTCTGACACACCTCAGCTCATATCAGACAAAGATCCCAAAGCAGTTGTCAAGGCAACAGTGTTCCTGGTACAAAAAGGAATCAAGGATCAAGTGTTTTCCGTAAGACCGTGAAGTTTTAACTTTTTTTTCTCAAGAATGGTACAAAAATCTTGCGAAAACAATTACATTTCATGTTTTTCCAGGTCTTCAGTGTCTCCCTAGAGGTGTTGCGCTCTTTGGTAAAGACTTACATTCCTCAACACAAGTAAGAATTTTACTTGATTGTCCTTTGAGTAATTTTCAATTGAGTTTGGAAAGTATATTGGGATTGCTTTGGTTTTGCTTAAATTCTCTGTCTGATCGGTTTAAAAAACTCATTCCATGTTCTTAACCAATAAGACGCCAAACGAAAACCAATCTAGACTTGGTCGCCCGCGTTTTCCCGCGGTTTTGGAAGATAGTCTGTTTTTACTTTGAGTCTTTATCGTCTAATGATTACACAGAACTTTCTTATGATTGACTGTTTGGATTTACATTGTTTTTCTTTTTTTTTATTTACAAAAGCCAATTGAAAACTGCTCTAATTTACTTTACCAATTCGTCCTTTTTTTCAATACGTGTTGGATCTCCTCAAGATTTGAAAATTTGAAGCACACCTTTAACTAATATAAAATAAATCACTGAGTTTTTCCTTATTACCCCAGGCTGGCAAAGTCAGAAATATCGCATGTTGCAGAAAAGGTGCGTGAAATATAGAGACATTTTCTGATGACCACCTGTTTTCCGTGAAGTTTGAGCGTAATTCCTTCATCTCAGCAAATTGGAAAAATGTGTTTCAGATATGCGGAGCCTGATAAATATTACGGAGCCTCACTTATGCTTTGCAGAAAAAACCTCCTTGGCTGATGAATGTTTGCATGAATGCATGGAAAACTAATTTTGGTTTGAACATAGTTCGCGCTGATCTTGGAACTATAAACTTTTTTTGTATTCCTTTTACAGACAACTCCTCCACTGCTGACAAAATCTGGTGAAATGGTTAGTTGCACGTCACATATGTTTTATATATGAAATAATATCTATTTGTGAATTAACCGAAACAACTTTACCTGACAACCCTCCCTCCACCTCGAGACAATTGTACGAAGCGTTTATATGGAGTTGTGATTTGTAACAGCTGTCTCCTCACCAGTCTCTCTAGTGACAGCTAGGCAGGTTACATATTGGACAAAATTTGAGCCGTCTCGTCTCGGGCAGAGAGGGGGGGGGGGGCTCTCGGGTCGCCAAGATTGCCCCACAAGTGATGTACAGGTCTTCTTCATTTCGAAGATTCAGGGCGAATTACGAAATAATTAGTGTCGCGGATTTCGCCCACACTCCATTTTATGGTTTCTTGAATGTAGTTTAAAAGTGATTCTATTTGCACTGTCACATCCTTCCAATGTACTTCTGGTTTTTTCTTATCTGCTCTTTTTTTGGCCTGAATAAAAATTCCTGTTTTTAGTATTGATTTTTTTCTCTAGGCTGCGAGAAGTCGCGATGTTGCCACTGCTATGATAATGGAGTTAGCTGTACACAAAGATATTAAGGTTTAAGATCTGCTCTTTACGTATAACATGCCCGAGTATGTTTGATGAGAAATAGTTGTGCAATAGTTAGCACTTTCTTTGGGTCTAGGCGTGGTGTTAAACTACGTAGGATGATGGCAGACACGAGAAAAGTTATATATATATATATATATATATATATATATATAGATAGATAGATAGATAGATAGATAGATAGATAGATAGATATAGATAGATATAGATAGATATAGATAGATATAGATAGATATAGATAGATATATAGATAGATAGATATAGATAGATAGATAGATAGATAGATAGATAGATAGATAGATAGATAGATAGATAGATAGATAGATAGATAGATAGATATATATAGATAGATAGATAAATACGAGCCGGAGGCGAATTATTTACAAACCTTTCGAGGGTAAACTGATAGAAACAGGGTCTATCGCTCCTTAGATTACTCTTGGATTTTCTATGATGCAATAAACGATAGGCTTTTGACCAATCAGGGCGCCAGCAGTATCTCGCTTATTATAAATACTGTTTAGTGCTTGAAATTGTCGTTTCATCTCCTTTAGTGATAATTGCTTTATAGAAAATGAAATCTTGGATGCAATAGTGCATTTTTACAGAAATCTTTCTCTTTTCTGAAAAATCAGAAAATTTGCTCAAGTAGAAACACTCGGTTACAAAATTTTACCTTTTTTTTTTTCTAGCTTCTGGGTGTTATACCGGACCATGCAACACGGCCATTTAAAGCCAAACAGCAAGTTTCAGTAAGTGAAGTTTACACTTTTATAAGTGAACTAAGCAAACTATGCAGGCTTTTAAGTAACATGTTGATTTTAGTTCTGTTATGTTTTGTTTTTATTTCTATTTGTTTGTTATTTTGTTTTGTTTTTTGATTGTTGTTGGTTTGCTGGTCCGTTGGTTTTTTGGGACCACATTATGTGCTGTTAGTTGAGGAAAACACGTTTATCTCAAGGTGGTTAGGGTGCAATAAGGATCCCAGCTACAGAATTACTGTACAACTGCTTTCATAGAAGAATAGATAAATTCATCTATTTGCCTATTCTTACACAAATTTTTTGCCGCATTTAACAAACTTTCCTAAAACGAAATGAAAGAATGCCATCACACTGATGGAAAACTAATAAATAAAAATAAACTCACACTTGCAAAGATGACGTTTGAATTCTAACTTTTGTCGGAAAGTTTGATATTTTTCTGTAAATCGTTCCATTCTAGCCCAGGATGTACAAAAGCAGGATTGAGATTATCGAAAAGCTTCTTGGAGTACTGGAATTAGACTCTGATAAACCTGGGTAAGTTTTGGATTGCTACCAACTGTCATCCTTGAGTTAGTTTCAATTCAGTTTATCCAAGAAATCTTCCTCCTAACATTTTTCTTTCTGAAACATGACACGCACAGTTTCAAAAGGACCCTCTATGCTACATGAACAATTACTTCCCTAGAAACTCGTATATTCCATAATTGAGCCGAATTTCGAATTCTCTGTGAGCTAAGCTTTTCAGGAAACATTTACACTATGATTAAGGAGGAGACTTGTTGAAACCATATTCCACTGAACTGCAAGACAAGAATTCCTGCAAACTGTTCCTTCAGTCAATTAATTCTGAGAAATTTGTTTCTGTTCCCTCTAGGAGCCTTTCCACCGGAAATATAATGAGGGTAAGATCTAACTTTAAATGATAAGCTGGTTGGTTCTCACTAATTGAACCTATGGCAGGACAGGCGCATATTTAACGTCACCATTAACTATTTTTGCTTCTTTGTTGTAAAAACTAGATATTATGATTAACATGTAGATTGAAAAGTAAATGTCTGTTTTTTAGTGAGGATAATTTACTGATTTATCACCAGGTTGTGTTACCGGCACTAGAACATACCAGTGGTGACGTAAGAGATCCAGCCTCACGCTTGGTCCTAGAACTGTACAAGAAGGTATAGGAATTTCACCTTTCTTGTTCCTGGTTGTTTGGAAACGTTAACGGTGGACATAAAGGGAATTGCTTTAGGAACAGTCCTAATTATGGCCCATTCTTTAGGAACCTGACCACGCAGGCTGCAGTTTTCTGATAGGGTCGATTATTTATAGTGCAATGGTAGAATGTAGAAAACATGTAATAAGAACTAAACTTTAGTTAAACAAGCTCAGTAATCGTACAGTTATAGAAGAGACTTGCAGTTCGGTGTGATGTCAGTTTTCATACCAAAACTTTTGTTGTTTATATTAAGGGCAATTACCTGCATAGATTTTTATTATTGGTATTTGTGCATAATGGCCCATCCTTTCATTGATTTTCACGTTTATTTGTTTTATTTTTTTAAAGGTGAAAGACGCTGTTCGAGATTATCTACCACCTGATGAACCGGCCACCAGGAAAAACCCGCTCTACAGAAACCTGTTTGACGGGTTTGATAGGATCGATGGAAAGCCAACAGAAGCTGAGAGAAAGGTATGGATATTTGTGGAAGAGTTGTGAATGCTTTGTTATAGTGTCACTAATCAAAATATTTTTGCAGTTGCAATTTTTTATGTTTCTGAGGGATGGAAGGTTATGGCGAGGGTTGGCCTCGTGCTCGAGCCATACTTGCTTCTGCTCGCATCAGAAACGCACTAAAGGAAAAATATTTATGCCAGTTTGAAATCATTTCACCTTTTCATTTCTTCATAGGCAAAAGCAAAGACAGCGGCTGCAAACTCGGAAAAAGCCAAGCAGGCCGAGGTACAGAAAGTGGCCTACGAAATGATTAAATTCTACCTTGTAGTTCAGTCTCATCTCTCGCTGATGTTTGTGTTTCACAAATGCGTTCTTAATCTTTAACGAAAAAAAAAACCTTAGGTAATTTGTCGCACGATGTAACTGTTTGAGAACAGCTCAAAGAGGTAGACCTCTAAAGAAAAAGAAATGCTACTTGCTTAGCACACTTGTTTAGCAAAGCACAAGAAAGACTCTACTGGTTTTAAGTGGATAATCTCAGGAAGCAGAAACTGACTCTCCGCAACTGGAGCTTCATGTCTCCTTTTACAAATAAATGTAAATACAGTTTGAAAAGGAATTCATGAAAAAATAATTATTAAATCAGGGGGGTAGTGAATTGCACTTTCTTGCTTTAAGAGCATCTGTTAAGAGAAATGTTTTTCTCCCTCCTCAGATTGCGGCATTACAGGCTCAACTTCAAGCGCTTAGAGATATGGCTGGGGTTCGTATATAACCTGTACTTACAACTACTAAATGACGGTATCTAGATGTTGTCCTCATCCTCCATACTGTTCCCCACATATTATTTATGGTGCTGACAAGGAGAATTTGTTTAACAATCAAGAGCTTCTTTTTTTGGTGATCGTTTTTATTCTCGTGACTTTAATGTTTGAAACAGAGAGACGCTTGTGGTCCAAAATTTAAATATTTTACTTTAAACACCGTTCTTTGACGTTTAAATAGAATCTGAAAATTATTATTGGCAGAAAATGTAGTTCTTCCTAAGTAGTGTAGAACTTCAGAGACGAAATATGAAGGTGTCTGATAAATAAAATCTTGTGTTTAGGAGTCGAACAAAGCTGGGAATTCTAAGCCAGCAAAAGGTTAGTACGTGCAGTGCGGTGATTTGTTTACTATAGAAAAGTGTACCATTACTAATAGACAGGCATTTTATTCTATTGATATGCCTGATTCTTAAGCTGTAGTCTTTTGTCATATTGAACTGTTATTTTTGTCACAAATTGATAAGAACAAAGAGATTGATTCACTGACTTACCGGCTCTGACTGAGTGGCTTGTTGGCGGGTTTGAAGACTGACTGACTGACTGGCCTGTTGGTTGGTTAGCTGACAGACTGACACATTAACTGGCTAGATGGCAGACTGACTGACCAGCTTGTTTGGGGGTTGGCTGACTGATTAACTGGCTGGCTGACTGACTGACCAACTGGCTTCTTGGCTAGCCAGCTGACTTGCCAACAGACGAGCTGATTGGTTCACCGGCTGGTTGAATGACTGACTGACAGACTGATTTGCTGGCTGCCCGGCTCGCCAGCTGACTGACAAACGGACCTACTGACTGACTTGCTTTTTACTGACAGACTGACTGACTGAATGACAAACGCGATTATTTTATCACAGCATGCCACAAAAATCTGGTCATCCAGATTCCACCTCTTGAAACGACTTATTAGTGCTTCTGTGTCCAAGGGGGTCATGTGACATGCTAAAGAAATCCCATAAAGCATCTTGGGCCTACAGTCTTACAGTGGAGACTGTATGGTAGTGTGCCTTTATACAAACTGTTAATACTTTGAACAGGATAACCTCGTTGCTCTCTGCTTGATGAGGAATTGTCAGGTTTACCAGTACCAATAATTTCGATATTTTGTTTTGTTGTTTGCAGAAGAACAGATTGACGTAGACAGGTATTATGCTTGCTGAGTATTACATTTAGTACTTAAATTAAGTGATATACCTCTGGTAACCACAGTTATGCGGCTGTGATAAGTCGATTGTTTTATCATGTCTTGTTATGATACATGTTTTCTCCGTGAATGTCATCGTATGATTTTAAAGACTTTATTTTATTCGTTGGCGAATATGAAAACCATCACCAAAACCTTTAGAGTGCAGTTTCCTTGTGTTAAATCATGGGTGTTAAATGCTAGCAATTCCTGCTTGCCGTTTACCCGCCCTGAAGGTTTTTTGTATCGCAAGAAGTTCTTTAAAATGAATTTTTCACATATCGCCCTTGATTTTCTAAAACGCCAATCAGATCTGTCCCCTTGTTAAGCTCAGGTTGTAGGGCGCCGGACTGCTGTGTGGAAGGTCGAGGACTCAAGCCCCAGACTTGACCAACACTCAGTGTCTTAAAATAACTGAGGAGAATGTGCTGCCTTTGCTATCACATCTGCAAGTGCTTAGACAATCTAGTCTTCTCGGATTAGGATGGATAAGGATGAAGTCCCCCGCAAAGTCTTGCAAAGCGCCATGGATATGGTGCTATAGAAATATTTCATTGTTATCATTATCATTATTTTTAGTTATTACTATTATTATTATTATTATTATTATTATTATTATTATTATTATTATTATTGTTATTGTTATTATTATTATTGTTGTTATAATTTTGTAGGCTGCAGAATACCCGTTGTCCAAAACTGCGGCCGAAACAAATCCTTGAAAGTAAATAGTTGGTGATCTCTGGACAAGGAGAACCACTCGATAAAATCAATTGATTTTAGATCAAGACATCACTCATTGCTTATTTCTCTCTGTCTATTCTGGATACCATACAGAATGTGTATCTTCTGCGGTGAGAAGAACGAATCTTTCACAGAAGAGATGTTGGATATGCATTACTGGAAGAGCTGTCCCATGTTAAAAAGATGTGACCATTGTGCTCAGGTAACTTACCCTCCCCTCTCTGACTTGTCAACGCAAATGTTGTCCTATAAGTAAAATAACTGTTGCTCACCATCTTCTCTCCCTTGCCTTCCCCTCCCGTCAGGTGATTGAAATCTCTGGTGTGAGTGAACATCTTCTGACTGAGTGTGAGTCCAGTGCCAAATTTGTTCAGTGTCCTCGATGTAAGGACGCCGTTCTTAAAGTGGATCTTGAAGAGCACTTTGCCAAAAAAAAATGCAGCCGTAAGTTCTTTGTTTGTTGCTCTGCAACGAAATGAGCTCCTTACAAGCTAAAGTGCATCATAGTCGTCGTTTTAACGTTGTTTTTGTAACAAAGAATTTAACCAGAAAGTGTTCTTCACTCCTTAGCGTTTACTCTCTAACCCTCTAGACCCTAATATCAGCGTTTATATTGTCCATACTGATTTTTATACATTTGTGTGGCACTGACAGGGATAATGTAGTCAAAAATCAAAGAGATTTTCAAGTATCATTTCTGGAACTCACATGAGCGTAATGTTTCATTCAGCAGTGATACTTTAGTGAGATATTAGCTGCTAGTCACCCTCAGGGGTTAAGGGGTAATAGGATACAACGTTTTGGAACATTTTTTAAACTTTGCTTGGAATCCTTACCAAAAATGTCTTCGACAAAAATATTTAAAGGGCGAAATCTTCCTCTTCAACCAGGCACACCGTTGGCTGACACTTGAGGTTCTCCAACGCGTCACACCTTCTTCATTCAAATGTCATTTTTAATAGGTTTTCTTTTATCTGTACGAATTTTTACGTTTGTTTTCATTGCACCTTCAAGAAATATTCCTTTCGTTTCTTACCGTTTCTGCTGCTCATGGCTGACGTGATCACATTCTTTTTCTAATAACACAAATGGTTTCTTTAGCATCCCAAGGTCCCCGCTGTGTTCTGTGTAACAAAACTCTCGGCAAAGGAGACGAGGTGAGGTCCATCGAAACAGTCTCTATCTCGTTTATTTGCCGTTCAACGGTGATGTTATGAGTGTTTGCCAATGAAAGTAACTTTTGCCTTTTTCTTACTTGTTTTTTAGGCCTGGAGCAAACATTTGAAAGAAGAATGTGCTCCAAACAAAGCGAGACTACAGCAGCAATCAGGTAAACTTACAGGCGAACAAGAAACAGAGCTATAGTGTAAGACTGGGTGTTCAGATCCAGTCGTGAATGAATTAACTTTATCGACCCACGGTATCCACCATCAATAAAAGGTGCTCTTCCAAGGAGCTGTACACTACGATTCATTGTGACTAGATTGCCATGTTTTTGAAATGTTATTTTTTCATCATTTATTTTGCACTCTAACAAAATTCTTGCAGTTTGCTTTATTGCTTACATCTCATAGTTCAGTCGATGCTACTTAAGTTATTCAACTCTACTGGAATTTTTCTTATTATGAAACCAGTCTTTAAAAGGTGTGGCTTTTTAAGGTTACGCTCAAGTTTCCATATTTTGCTTGATAAAACTCACGTTTTCCTGTATTATCGTATTCAGTCAGCAAAGCTCCAAGCCAAGCAAGTTTGAGGAGTACCCGAGGTAGAGGAGGGAAGACCACACCCCTTGGAAGAGGCGTAGGAAAGGGGAGAGGTAAAGGAGGTGTCGTCAAGCTCAGATAATACACGGCTGGCAGTGGAAGTCATCGTTAGGAAATAAGTAAACCATAATAATCTTGAATTTTGGCGCCTTATTTTACCATGTGAACCTTCTCTCTGAAATATTGGAAGTAACATCACGTCTCACTTTTAAATCCATAGTGATTCTCTTCTAGGCATGTTAATATTCGCGCCATATTTTAATGTATAAAACTGTCCGATCTTCGAATGTTGTGAAGTCCTGCTATCGCGATGTTTTCGTCTTCCGAAGTCGAGCGAGGACATCTGTAGGTATATCACTGTAATTTTGCCAAAGGGCATCTTCAGGGATACTCCGCTACCCTTCCCTGCTTAGCATTTCAAAGCCTTTTTGACTGACTCCAGGGGTGTAAGATCTAGAGTCAGGACTATAACAGACAATCTTTTTGGTCAATCACCCCGTGTAAACTTCCCAAAGTATCGCTTCTCCATTTGACTGATGTGTATAGTGACTATTTAATGACGTATGGTGCCGTATCATGTGGGATAAAAAGTGTCGTGCAGGTGTGTCTTACTTTTATTTATACTTGATTCATATCATCTCGACAGTTTGCTTGCAAAGATTGAATTGTACAGTAATTTTTCTACTGCCGCTAACTCTAGATATATTAAGTTTTAACACGTTTAATGTGGTATTGTTGCTTTGTGTTTGGTTTACAATGTGTCAATTTATTAAATAAAACTTTGTAACTTGACAGTTTCCATTGTGTGCAATGAACATGTGACATGGGTGAAGCCCACTACAAACTTCAACTTCGTTTACTATTGACGCAAACTTACTGTGTCCTCCAAATCTCCTCGAAATGCACAATCCTTCCAGTATACTACAATAGCTCTCTGTCAGTAGAGCTTTCCAGTCTCTTCCGAGAACAGCAACTATTACTCCTAGATGACTGATTCCCTACAAACATTTACAATGTCTTCCATAACATTTGGGAAGCCTACAGCACAACTATTTTGGTAACCATAATTAAATAACCTAACAGAATGTTCTAGACGTTACTATGGGATGACATTAGAAAGTTCGAGTATCCTTACTACTCCGTCTTTTAAATCACTAACCACAACAACTTATTTCTTTTTACTTAATAACTGAGCATAAATTACTGTGTGAATGAAAAGAAACTAGGCTCTGTTTGTTCAGCTATAGGAGAACAAACTTAAAGTTTTCTTCGTTAATGAGTTCGTCCGCCTACTGTTTCGAAAGGTCGACCGACCCATCGATTTGTTTCGTCATAATTTTCTTAATCGCGTTGTTCTGTGTAGTCCGCCCGTTCCTTGGTCTGTTGATCTGTCATGTTGTCTACGTTTTGGACGGATTACTAGAAATACCAAGCGTATGCATCAGCACATGTGTGACCGCTGTTGTTTTCTTCATCGCAATCCACAAGATCGTGTCCATGCCAAATCCTGAACTCCTCACCAATTTTCACCCAAAGCGGTGAGTCAAGGCCCTCAAAGATCAATTCCTTGGAGTTCACGTCAACTCCGCTGATCCTGTATGCGTAGTATCGACACAAAGCTCCAGTGTCGCTAATTGTCTCGGAGTAATTCGCAATCGGAAGAGCAGTGTTATTCGAGAAAGTTATGACAGTAGTTAAGATATCAGGCTCATTATTTCTGTTTAAACAACCCCAATAGGCAGCCGGGAAATTTCGGTTGCATTTTATGCCGCGGCCGCGTCTATGGACGAGTTTGAAGGAGTCGATAAACCCGTCCTCTTTAATGGTGAATGCTCCGTATCTGTCATCAAGCGCGCTAAAGCACACTGGGTCATCATTGATTTTCCTCCATCCACCTGTTCTGTCTAAGGAAAAGAAGACAAATTGAGTCCTAGAAGCATCTATGAGGTAATGAGTAATCTCGTACCCAGATTCTACCGTGTAATCGCTGCTGAAATTACGACCGCTTGGCCGTGAGAGGTCTAAATACAAGACTAAGTAATAAGCTCGCTATGCGAGAACCCCCTACCTCCCATCCCTCCCCCCCTCCCCAAATTTTTATGAACAACTCAGCCATATTAAACATTCTTACCCGGCTCGCAATGTTCTCCAGAGAAACCTTGGAAACATTGGCAGCGGTGCTCATTATCAGACACATCGATGATACACTTTTTATTTTCAGGGCACGGGTTACTGGAGCAATCGTTCTGTTACATATGAAAAATGAAGCATGAATAAGCAACACTCTCTTTTAACTTGATTCAGCATCAGCGTGTACGATGTATTAGTTTGATCTGATGATCAAACCGCGCCTTGTTACGTAACAAATAAAAGTAATCTTACTCCGAGAGGTGAAGTCTTTGTTTCATCTTTTCCGTTATGCTTGGTTTTTTTCATTGTAATTAAGAATAAATGGATCGATTTTGCCGGTGTAATCACCGCTTGCTTTCGGTGACGGAACCGTTGGATTGTGAGGGTTACATAAAAAACTGTTTTCTTGCCGGTGTTTACAAGAATTTCCTGAATTTTCTGTACCATTTGTCGTTGATAATGTAGATTGAGAAAAAAGAAAAACGGCAATGAGTCTAACACAACGAGATTTAATGTAATATAGACACCATTAAGATCGAGTATATGGTTGTAACTCATATCTCGTTGCATCATGGGGGCAATACCATCATGCACAAAGGGCACTGTAGATTACTTTAATTTCATCAGCATTTGCTAGCAGTTAAATACCTCAGTTCCTCTGTAGCTAAACCCCAGTCGTTGCTGTAATTCACGAGGGTGTTGTTTATGGTCTGAATCGCTCAGCTCACATTTGTGGCGCACATTCCCCTGGTCACCATAGTTGAAAGACAAGCACCGGTTGTCAAGGTAACATTCGATTTCACAGACATCTGGGCTTCCCACTGAAATGTTCTTGATCACGTGATTGACGAGAGCCTTTCCTACCTTGGGTGAAGCGAACTTAAGCACTCTGCAACCTTGAACTGAAATATCAGGCACAGTTATCTAAGATGTAGCTGAAAATAATGAATGAATTATTTGGTTGGTCATCTTTTATTGTGAAACGGAGAAGTTGAAATTTTCGGTGTAACATTAATTAATAATTATACGAATTTGTCAGCATCATCTAATTGTTTTTCCTTTTCGAAGAAACTTCTCCTGATCAATCAACTTTTCAAATTCAGAGAGCAATTTCGACCTTTCTTACAAATCTCGAGCGGGAGCCTTAATCGTGGAGGTGAGTTTGCACTGATTTCAACCTCGAAGTTGTTCACACAAATACCCTCGGTAGATTGAAGACATTTCTTCTTCTCTCCAAAGCTATTCGCGTTAAAAAATCCTAAAAATCGTGGAAGAAAATGCTCGCCCGCAACTACTATGATTAAAGCAGGAGCTGATCAAATTTACAAAATTTATTTTTAATGAATGTGATTTTATGAAAATCTTATGCGTGAGCTGCGGGTTATTAAATGAGTATGAGTGATCTCCACAGAAATGAACACTACTCAGGTCATAGTGAAACAAAGTTGGTAGAGCATTGTACCGGTATCGGCAAAGGTCGTGGGTTCATCTCCCTCATAGGCCTGAATTTTTTGAAGATCGCTTAAATTTAAGATTGATTTTCTAGGATTCATTAACTTTTCTTGACAACAAAGAGAAATTGTTGGCGCAATATTTTAGCCATAGAGTAAATTCTAATTAAGCAAGCTTTTTCGAAAAACTGAGTTTACTCTATGTTGGCCTCGTTTCTTTCTTGCAATTCTTATAAAGTTCGGCCTCGCCAAGAAGGTGAGACTCGGCTCCTTTACAAGTTTACGTAGCAGCCGTTTCTGCTTGCTGACTGCAGTTATCCTCTTGAGATAATTTCCTGGCCCCTTGAAACATCTTAGTAATGTTTGAATTTGTTAAATTCAACCAGATTTTTTTTTTGCAAGTTAAGTAACATTTTCATTTTTAAACGTTTAGTTCCCAGCAGGATGCTTAATTACTATCAAATTAGCACACTGTATTCCAAAGTTTAAAGGTTGTTCAGACTCCTGATGAACTAACTATACATTTGATCACTGCTTTTGCACATCAGACAATAGTGTAGATTATACCGCTTATATCAAAGAACTCTTCCTTGTATTCCAAGGTCTGAAGCAATTAATAATTTGTCCTGCAGTTGTTATTCACAGGACTTTGTCTAGACAAGAATATAATTTCATGCTTGAATGCATTTGCTTCCGAACTTGTTTGAACTTCCATCGATACTTCTGTCTTTTATAATGAGTAGGTAACTATCTCTACTATTTTACATTCAAAAGAAAACGTACGTGCCTTTGAAAAAGGAAAGAAAATTGCAAAAATTGTTAAGGAGCAAGACTGTAAAGACTGAATTTTTCGATTTTGTCTGAGAGGATTCCTCATTTTGTTAACTTCTTACCATTCAAAGCTTCTCCAAACATCCAGATACTGCAGATTGTCAACGATACGATTCCTGTAAAATATCTTTGTCCCATCTTCATGGATGTTATATCTTCTTCTCTGCTTATTGTTGGCAAATAATTCTTCTCTCCTGGCTTCAGAAAAATGAAAAAAAGAGAAGATTAAGGCATAACCCTCTTGAATAATTTATGTCTAACTAAAAAACAACCTTTGCCAAGCAGAAATTTATTGAAATATTTATGACATGACTCTGTTAATGAAAATTTCCAATCGCTGTTCAATGAAAAACAGTCGTTGCATTACTATGAAGGATTTCAAATGGTTTAAGTTGTTTCAGCGTGTTGGAAAGACGCGATTTCAGAAGCATGAATAACGTTTTGAAAGTTCATTTACAGCTAATAGCATGATTTGAAAAAAGCTGTAAAGTATTCAAATGACTTTCAACTTATCACTGGTGGATTCACAGCTTAGCACATTATTTGGCACAAGACAATTGCATGAAGCATTTCATACGATTTTTTCTCCGGGCGGGTGTCTGGGGGTAGGCAGGGTTAGAAAATTCTACTCCGTGAGAAAGATAAGCAACTGTACCAATCACGGTATTGACTAAAGCTAGCTTCAAACATAGCATGAGTCGGAGCGGCGGAGGTATAGGAGATACACTAATAAAAAATGGAAATTATAGGGATTTGGCAGGGAGTTCAACAGGGCCAGGAATGATAAAAGAAACATCTGGGTAGAGGGAGAACAACCAAAATACAGAGGGCATGGTAATCAGAGCAATGATCATTTCTTATTGCTCGATCATCCTACGTAAGTATATTTCTTTGGCAAGTAAAGTTATCTTGCAATTTTTTAAAGCTTACGACTTCCCTGCACCCCGAGCGACGAGATGCACTGGACTGTCATTGCTTTAGGTTTGGAATTTGTTAGTGTATCACTGTAATTGTGTAATCCCCCCCCCCTCTCTACTCGCATCTCTAATCGGTATTCTTGGACCCTGAGTGTTTTACGATGGTGTACCGACGCTGTTCTAACTAAATTCAATAACCAAGTGGCCCCAAAAATCCCGAGGAAAATCTTCTCTGTCCTCTTGATCGGTAGGGTGATTGCGTGACGGTGTCTTGTACAATGCTATGTTAAACAACAAATGCACCTGGGCTTTTCTTTCGCTATTTATTTTTGATTTACACCAACTCTTGCAAAGGTAATAAAACATGTTTTGCTTCATCGCGTTCTTTCGTCCGCTCATTCGTCGTTCGTTCATATTCGTACGTCCGTCCTTCCGTGCGTACAACTGCCATTGAGAGTGGTTTAGTGCGTGTACCAAGCATAGACGTCGGCACAAGTTTGACCACTGTTATTGATCTCGCTACAACCTGTCAGATCTTGTCCATGCCATATTCTAAACTCTTGGCCGATTGTCACCCAAAGCGGCGAATGAAGGCCTTCAAAGATCAATTCCTTTGAATCAGACGTAGTTCCATTGATCTTATACGTGTAGTACGAACAAAGCCCTCCCATAATGCCAACTTCCTTGGAGTAACTCGCAATCGGAAGAGCTGTGTTATTCGAGAAAGTTATGACAGTCAGTAAGGTGTCACGACCATCTTGTCTATTCTCACAACCCCAATAGGATGCCAGTGCATAATAGTTGCATCTTACGCCGGAGCCGCTTGCGTGAACGAGTTTGAAGGTGTCAATGAGCCCGTTCTCTTTAATGGTGAATACTCCATATTTGTTATCACGCGCTCCGAAGCAAACTGGTGCATCGCTGATTTTCTTCCATTCAACTAAAATAACTGAGAAGAAAAATACAGTCCCTCTAGCTAATATTTGACTCGGACAATCACACTTTATAAAGAACTCTTACCAATTGCATAATTAAGAACAGAAATCTGGGCAAAAGCACCTCACTTATATTTATTCTTTTATCATAGGAATAAAATGTCCTTCTGTCAGTTTCAGATTTGTTTGAGCCACCCATCGACTAAAAAGTTTTGAAGCGGTCACGATGTATAGCTCGGCTGTCCTTGTTTAATGTTTACATTAAAGGAGTCTGTTCGAGTCCGATTTTGAATACATTATTTTGAATCAAATTGAATCAAAATGATGGAAAAGCAGAAAGTTACATGAAGAAATCAAAACAAAGCAAAACAAAATTTAAAAACTTTAAACATGCTATTGTGTAAAATATGCCTCAAATGCTGTTTCAATACACGACATTGCAGAACAATCCTTACCTTGCTCGCAGTGGTCTCCATAGTAACCTGGATGACAGTGACAGCGGTATTTATTGTCAGCTACATCGATGACACATTTGCCATTTAAAGAGCACGGGTTACTGGAACATTCATTCTGTCGGAGAAGAAATAAATGCCATTCTTTTCTGACTGATCAGTACATGCATGTACTATAGGCTGACTGTATTTAGGTAATCAAAGGCTCTTTTTCTTTTGACTATCCAAAAGATCAGCACGTGTGTTTTAAAAATTTGTACATTTCTTTGCCGTCCTCTGCAAAACAGCAACGTGAAATCACCAAAATTTGCGTGATCTGAGAGGAGAAACCCCGACAGACAATAATTCAGGTTTCTATTTTGAACTCAACGCTGCTCATAGACCTTGTGCTGAAGCAGAAATGTAGCGCTGTAAGAGATGGTAGACACCTTCGGCCATTTGCCAAATTCTAAATAAATTCATTTTTTCAAGCGACGTGTTCCGCAGCGTTGCTGTTCTTACTACGTAAGGTCCCCAATAATATGCAAAAAATAGTTGGTTAACTCCCAGGGTTGTAAATTCTTCCTTCTAGTTGCTATTTATAGATATTTCCCCTTTAAACTAGTTCCGAGAAATTGCTGTTAGGTCAAGATAACAACTTCTACTTGATACGTTTGAGTATTCTCATTACCTGTTTGCTGGATAGTGTATTGATATTGTAGGGAGATACTACATGTTAACTATCTCTTGGAGTTAAAGACTTAAGCATGGAAGGGTTCCACGGAAAGTGAGACACACTTTATAGTCAGTCTCTCTTAGATTAACTTTTATAATGTGTACCTCGGTTCCCCGGTAGATATATCCCAGCCGTTCTTGGAGATCATTAGGATGTTGTTTATGGTCTGAATCGCTCAGCTCACACTTGTGGCGCACATTCCCCTGGTCACCATAGTTGTAAGACAAACAGCGGTTGTCAAGGTAACATTCGATTTCACAGACGTCTGAGCTTCCGACCGAAACGTTCTTGATCACGTGATTTACGAGAGCTTTCCCTTCCCTGGGTGAAACGAACTGGAGCGCTCTGCAACCTTGAGCTGAAAGATCAGGCAAAGTTATCCAAAATGTAGATAGAAAAATAAAAGATTTATTCGATCGGTCATCTTTTAGTTGTGAAACGAAAGGTTGACATCTCGTTGTAACATTCATAAATAATCATATGAATTTGTCATCATTATCTTTTCTTGTTTGAATAAACGTTTGCTGATCAAAAAACTTTTCAAATTCAGTCGCAAATAAAGCCTTGATCACGTGATTCATGACAGCTTTTTCATTAATGAGTAGGTTAAATACTAACTCTCTGCAAGGATCTTAATTAAAGATAAGGAAATATTTCAGTTTAAGATAAAGCCAGTGATACGTGCCCACAATAACAGTAAAATTTTTGGGGTCAGACTTTGTTTCTTGGCCATGCTCAGTCTGTAATGTGGTACACAACTATTTGATGATTTTGTCAAATTAAGAAATAGCAGTTCTTTTTCCGTGACATTTAGCGGTCGAGAATATATTTACCGACCAATTCTTTGGTAAGAAAGACAAAATCGGACAAGAGAAAAATTTGGCATTAATTTGGCCGCCGGATAGAATAGAACTATCCATTCGGAAATGGGCAGATTAACCCTTGATGGAGCCTTACCTGAAATTTGTTTGTAAGCGCTTTGTAATTTGCACCTAATTGTTGTCCGTTGTTACTTCTCCAGGAGAAAAACATGTAATGTTTCCAAACGTGTTTCTTTTGACACTTAAAAGGGAATTTATTTTTGCACAATATGTGCGTTTTGGGAAGAGTTTAAGAACAAAGTACGCAGTGGTGAAGAGGATAAAATTCTATGTTGGACAGAGACTTGTTAAAAAATACATTTAAACGAATTTGTTGGATAATATTTGATGAAACAGGCCATGCAAAAATACACCTTAAGAATAAGTTGACCCGTAGCTAATCGAGGTTGGTCAATTTTGGAGCATTTTGGAGGAGATCCATCGTTGTGTTAGGTTCTTACCGTTTACAGCCATGGCTTCACCTTGGCAAATCCAGCTACTGTAAACTACGAACATGAAGATTCTTGTACAATATTTTCGTCGAGTCTTCATCGATTGGCAACTTCTTCTATGCTGTATATTGCGAAAAAAAAATAAAAAAACAATTTTCTCGTGGCTTTTTCAATATTACTCTGTTCACTCCTCACAAAAATGTGTACATTGATAAAAAATTTAAGGTGAAATCCTTTTAATCATGCCTAACGAGCTGGTGGTAAATAAAGCCTTGATGAATTATTCATAAAGTGTCTCCCCTATTGAAATCGTAACCACTGCTGTTAATTGCAATCTTCTGTGCCTAATGATGCTGCCATTTTAAGAACTAAAACTGGATCGATAAAAATAGTTTGAATAGCTACATCATTTATCTAAAAAAGTCCGAAAAACTTAGCCGGAACAATCTCTCAAGCATAAATAACTTTTACTTTGTTACAGATATTCACATCCAAGTACATCTGCGTGAAGTGCATCATGAATTTGCAGCTAGACGCCGGTTCAAATCTTAAGCGAACACCTCAGGTTTTATTAGTGATGATCACTACAAATGCGTTAATTATTTCGTCTTAATTGGATGGCCCTTTTAATATCTTGTGTAAGCCAGCCAGACCACAGGCATCCCAAGCTCACGTCTCGAGAAAAAGAAAGAGATTGACTTGTGACAGCGTCACGCATTGTGTTACGCAGTGTTAAGTTACGCGGCGAACCGTTAAGAATAAGGAACAGCATGGAAAGGACACGCCCGAGTTGCAAATCGCAGTCAAGTCCTTAACACGTATGCGCGACGTTTTGACTCTGACGTATGCGCGACGTTTTGATTGATGAGCATATGGCATGGTGTAATGGCAGAAGAAGAGAAGTCTTTGCGGTGCAAAATCAGCACAGATACTGTGTATAATACGCTCAAAACACACACAGTGTTCGCGTTAGACCCACACTAAAAGACGTCGAGCGTTTTCGGAACAGGTCGTTCCACGAACCTTATGAACGAACAATAATGAGTGAACACAGGCAGCCCAAACTTCAACTGCGAGATGATCATCTCACGAAATAAGGGTCATTGCAAAATTATAAGAGTTTGTATGGAAAAATTTACGACCGCTTTTAGGGGTGTAAAAATACAGTTGAAAAGAACTCACGTTAGCGAGTTAAACATTTCTAGGTTTACTACGTACATAAGGAAAGCTTCTCTTATGTACGTAGTAAATCTAGAAATGGATAACTCGCTAAAATGGGTTCTTTCGTCATAATAAGCCGTCAGATAACAAGCGATGCACTGTGGAAGTAAGGTGAGATATTTTCACTGAGAATTTGACTGTATTTTTGTATTCCTAAAAACAGTCGTAAATTTTCCCATACAAATTCTTATAATTTAGCCATGACTCTTATTTCGCAACATGGTCATCTCACAGCTGGAGTTTGGGTAGCCTGTGGAGTAAACCTTTCATCGAGAAATATTCTATATCAACTGAGCTATTTAATGTTAATAGAGAAAAGTACAAACGCAAATCTCATTGTGTATGTAGACGTGATAGTGAACCAAGCAGAATACCAATGTGAAGTTTGAAAAGTTTAAGGAACAAGTTTAAGAGCAGAAAGGTTAGAGAATTCATCTATGTATTCTTTCATGTATACTTATGTCATCTACACTGTACTGTTATGTAAATGCTGAAAAAACTATTAAATAAAACGAGGTTTAAGTTTAACTGTCGTGAAAGAATTCATCAAAGTATAAGAAAGATAAAATATAATGCCAGTCGATCATTGTTTTCTTGTAATAAACTGATGTGTTCTTGCAAAAGTGAGGCTCATGAAGCAAATTATTCCAACCATAAATTAAGTGGAGACATACACAGAAAAATCCTGGTCCTCCAATATAAAACAGTTATTTTGACCCTAACAAAACAATAGAAGCTCCATATAGTCAAGGTAACGAGTTAGTTTTTGGACAGAATGCAGGACAAAAATGTGTTGCAATGAGTTTGTGCTCTTTGATTTACAATAACACCCAGGGGATCAGCTCTGCAAATGATCTTATACAAATAATAAATATTGGAAAGAGGTTTAATTCAAGTTTGTCACGATTAGCCGGATAGGCGTTTTAATGTAGTCAGAATTACCTACAGCATTAAATGTGTTTGATAATGATTATCAATTGGAATACAGTGAAAGCTACTCTGGTACTGTTCACCAAGAAACTGCTATAGAAGGATATCAGTACTGTACCTCTTTAAAAGAGCCTCTAAGTCGCTCATGTCTGAGAACTAGCTTTGGTAGTTACTTTTTGTTTCCTTTTGGTGAAAATAAAAATAAACAATTGGTTTTTTTTGCGTGGGTCAAGTGCCATCACTCTAGCACTTAGAGCTGTTTATAATTAAAAGCTATCTCAGCCTAGAATCTTTTGTCAACCATGAAAAGGAAAACATAAGAAGACAGCTTATTTGCCAAATGACTCAGCCCGCTACAATCCCTTTATTCGTAAAACAATATTTCATTAAGTTAAAACTCAAAAAAAAAGAAAGAATGGAAATAGTGTCTGGTCATAAGTTTTAAAATAATAGCCACTGATATGTGGCTCTACCTGCCTCCACCCCACCCCAGAGAACGGTTTTCACACTATATAACAAATGCTGTTTTCAGTTGTCTTCATACATATGTGGGAAACCTGCATCTCTGGCATACCAAGACCGAAAACAGTTACAGGATAAACCAATAATTGCATTAAAAACTTCGGCAAATGCAGGCACAAAGAAAAAAATAAAGTTTCTCTCCAACAGAAAGCCCAAGTGAACGCAAATATGCGTTAAGTTTGATTTAAGGACGGTGCCTGCGATTAATTGGGATTTAATTTTGCCCGGCAGATGACTATACAAGTAAAATAGATTGTATCAGGGGCTATCAAAATCCAAAAAGAAAATTGGGGGTAGCCACGTAATGTTCTGAGATAATTAGTTTTGAAATCTGAAAAAAAAATGCTGATGTTGCATTTTAAAGATAGTAAAGGAAAATAAAATTACCTTGTCAGTTCCATTTAAATTAGATTTTTTAGTACTGAATGAAAAATTAATCGTACGTTTTACAGCCCGGTAATTATTGTATTTAAAACAGGAAATCAAGCTCTTATCTCGAAACATTTCTTGGTCATTTTAGTTTTGCTTCTTAGACACAACTTCTAGGTGACAAGAAATTCGCGTGATCATTGCGGGAGACGAGTCTTTCCACACACACGCGCGAGCTCGCCGACCATGACGTGTGCACTCGCGTGCACAGTGGCAATAGCGGGCACCGTCCACAGACTTTCGACATAAAACTCCGTATAACTGGTATGAGGGCCTCATGAAAAGCCTTGCAGCCAGGCAAGATGCGAGCTGAAAGAAAAAAGGAAGAAAATGGAAAAGCGACGGTCATATGATAAAATACTTATTGACTGAGTTAGGTCGGGAACTCGCTACGTTGGTCTTGTACGTTATTATCTCAAGCCAAATAGTTTCCTGTGTGGCCCTCCCACCATGACAACCTACAAAACACTGCAGCATAGGTACCTGTCAAGATGAATATGCCAAATATTTAAATACACGTCATCTTTAGGTCTTGCATCTCATTACTCTTAATTTTCCTTTTGAATTAATTTCATCTGATCAGCAACAGAAATTCCTTTTTTAGATCAACAAAGAGGTACTCATAAGAGCTAGACTGGTAAGTTTTCACACTTTGCTCCCATTTACAGTACTTACTAAACATGTGTCTGTAAAATACCAGGTTCGAGTGATAACGGGCTATTGTACACGTTATGCAGATATCAATCTTGTCTAATTAGAAATTCGAATGTGAAAGTGAAAAGCGTTCTTCGACAGCCATTATGCCTTGGAGACCTTTTCGATTTGAGATTCTAAGAGACTTTGGAATCAAATATTAATAAATTGAGGATAAGGTCCTTTCCAAGTACAGACTCGAGTGACGTTGTTGTGCTGATCTTTAAGCCCCGTTTGAAATCATTGCAACATCGTCTCTCTTTGAATTAACGTCATGTTTGAGAAACGAGAGTAAAGGAAACTCTGCAATCGCCACATTGTAACAAAAGTATATAAGAACGCAGAATAAACGCATGAGAACTTGACGGCGGAAAAACCTACACGGCAATTTTCTTTAAATCTGTTCACGATTTAGAAAAGCAACTCAACGTATCATATCGTAGACGACAAAATTTACATATTGTGAATTATCGCTTCAGTGCTTGTCTAAAAAATTTTAAGGATCCTTGCCTAGACAGTCGCAAAGTTGGCAATCCTTTCGAAAAACCTGTGTAGCAATTATGGAGTTTTTGCCAATGGGATAAATGTTACTTCGCACAGAAACGAACTGAAAGGGTCATCTAGCCAGAGGTGGTCTATGGAACAAGGATCCATAACAATGCGCAATGGACGGACTAATATCACCTCAATACCACAAAGTGGGATTCTCTCTATCAAAGGCATGATTAACTCAGCAACGTCGCCACACTAAACTACAAATGTTCCTTCTTTATTTCGGTTAGCCGAAGTGGTAGCAGAATAAGTAGACTTCGTTTTATTGCGCAGTACTAATTGGTAATTAGAAGTAGCATAAATGACATTCAGACACCCGACTCTGAAAACAGAGGTGTTTTTTTTGGCTCGAAACAGACTGTTTGCAAACCCCTCATACAAAGACAGGGGTGAGAGGTTATCGTATTTGCTGATGTGCCACTTTGTTTATCGATTGGGCCAGGAGCCTATGACCTCGAAGCGTCTGAATTTTCCTATATTGTCCAAAAAAAAGCCGGGGTTTGTTAGCTGGCCAATCTGAAGCAGGGTGCAATTTTTGCCCTAATATGTGTCATTAAAAGGGTTGACACGCGGCCTAAAACCAGTTATCAATTAACTTTAATCCCTCACAAAAAGTAAGTCCGTAAGTCTTGCTTCCTAGTCGCAGTTTTCAGGTGACAATTGTTTCGCGTGATCATTGCGGGAGATGAGTTTTGCCGCACACGCGCGAGCTCGCCGACCATGACGTGACACGCTCGCGTGCACAGTGGCAGTAACGGGCACCGTCCACAGACATTCGACATAAAACTTCTTAAGACTGGTATGAGGGCCGTCTGAAAAGCCTTACGGCCAGGCGAGATGCGAGCTGAAAGTAAAAAGAAAGAAATGAGTTAGGTTGGGAACTCGCTGCGTTTGTCCTGTACGTTATTATCTCAAGCCAGATATTTTCCCGTGTGGCTCTCCGGCCTCTCACCATGACAACCGACAACCCACTGCAGCATGTATATGACACAAAACAAATATGTCATATACTTAATATACGTCATTTTCAGGTCTTGCATCTCGTTACTCTTAATTTTCCTTTTGAATTACTTAAGTACAATTTCATCTGATCAGTTTGGATCTGCGACAGAAATTCCTTTTTTAGACCAACAAAGAGGTACTCATAAGCGCTAGACTGGTAAGTTTTCACGTCTTGTTCCCATTAACGGAACATGTGTCTGTAAAACACAAGGTTCAAGTGATGAAGTGTTATTGTACGTGTTATGCAGATATCAGTCTTGTATAATTAGGAATTGGAAGGTGAAAGTGAAAAGCGTTCTTCGACAGCCAATATGCCTTAGAGATCTTTTCGATTTGAGATTCTAAGGGACTAAGGAATCAAATATTAATCAATTGAGGATAAGAGGAAATACTTGGGTGGTGAGTTCACAATGGTATGTCCTTTCCAAGTACAGACTCAAGTGTCGTTGTTATGCAACTGATCTTTAAGATTTGTTTGGAATCATTGCAACATCGTCTCTCTTTGAATTAACGTCATGTTTGAGAAACGAGAGTAAAGGAAACTCTGCAATCGTCACCTTGTAACAAATGTAAGAACGCAGAATTAACCCATGAAAACTTGACGGCGGAAAAACCTACACGGCAATTTTCTTTAAATCTGTTCACGATTTAGAAAAGCAACTCAATACATCATAGAGCTAGACAACAATATTTACATATGGTGAATTATCGCTTCAGTGCTTGTCTAAACTTCTGAAGGATCCTTACTTAGACAGTCGCAAAGTTGGAAATCCTTTCGAAAAACCTGTAGAGCAATTATGGACTTTTTGCTAGTTGGATAAATCTTACTTCGTACAGAAACGAACTAAAAGGGTCATCTACTCGTTTCGATAGAGACGGTCTATGGAACAAGGATCCTTAACAATGCACAATGGACGGACTTATATCACCTCAATACCACAAAGTGGGATTCTTTTTATCAAAGGCATGATCAACTGAGCAACGCCGCCACACTAAACTACAAATGTTCCTTCTTTACTGCGATTAGCCGAAGTGGTAGCAGAATTGGTAGATTTCATTTTATTGCGCAGTATTAATTGGTAACTAGGATATTTCGACATTTCAATCAATGTGCTTTCAAGATAGCAAGAAGGTGAAAAATATGAACGGCGAACCTACAATTCACTTTGAGTTTTCTGGATTTGTAAAAGTTGTTAACAGAAGTTAGCTTGACTGAGGTAAATGATATTTTCAAGACTTGATTTAGTTTTGAAGTTTTGTTTGACTGAAGATTTAAGGCTGACTTAAAGTAGTGTCTGAATTTCAGACGTAACACCACACATTGTTTTTTTTCTCAGATGGCATGGTAATGAATCTTGCAGTCTGATTGGTTTTTAGCGCGGTCTGTATTTTCCTATCTCTGCCCACGGGCACGGTAACACTTTCGTGAGTCACTGAGAACATCTCTCACTTCGTTACCATTCATCATAAATAAATTTTGTTTTTCCGGCTGGGCATTACTTTCAAGCAAAGTCATGATTTTGAACAAATCAAGTTCATTCTTGATAACTTGTTCATCGTCTCTTTTCTCACTCCCAAATCACTTTGGAGTTGCCGACAGAAAATTGTTTTCGAAACGAATTTCTGGTAGCAAATGTGTCATTAAATTGGTTGACACGCGGCCTAAAACCAGTTATCAATTAACTTTATTCCTTCACAAAAAGTAACTCAGTTAGTCTTACTCCTTAAGCTTTCAGGTGACAAGTTATTCGCGTGATCATTGCTTCCCTCCTGCTCGGCGGTGATCTCTCGTAGACTTCTAACGTACTCGGTTGCCCACCGTTTCCACATAAATTCCTTAAACTTAAGTAAAAGTTTTGCTCTCTTCCTTGGGTCTTTGTCGGGCACATCATGTGTTTGTAGTTCGGGAAGATGGTTCGGGTCGTTGTGTAGCATGGAGTTTGGCGTCAACTCTGGAAGCTGGACATCCTCTTCAAGATACCTCAAGGGGCGGTTATTATGCTCTACGTCAACATCAAGAACTACTTCTAATTCTGCCCAGCGGGGCGTTCCCTTACCAATCGTCGTATAGAAGGCTGCTTTGAAGAGGCTGATAATTAATGGTTAGGCCAGCTAAGAGCACATGAAACCTTTCGTCTTGTTGCACCTTCTTCAACCAGTTCTCAGCAGCTTTGAATGTAGACCCATTTTGCGAATAGATTATCTCCGGTCTCCCCCTTCGTGCTATGAACTGCTTGAGGCTTGCCATGAACTCGAAGGTTTCCAAGGACTTCAGTAGGTGAAGGTGAACAGCTCTGGTTAGACTGTAGGCGTACAAGACTAAGTACGCCTTGCTCTCGGCTTTGGCTCTAGATGTGTAGCGAATAGGTCCCGCGAAGTCTACTCCTATTACTTGAAAAGGTTTTGAATCTTCTGTTCTGGTTTTGAGTAGATTTCCTGTCAGCGAGGCCAAGGACGTCCAGGGAACACAACTGCTCATAGTCGGTGTAAGCTGACTGTGTTAGCAGTATGTGGCTCGTAACATCCTCGCCTCTCGGTGACATAACGGTCCATCCAAAAAGTGTTTTCTCGGCAACAGGTTCTCCTGATTCTCCGACTCTTTTTGCGGTACTTGTTTCGATTGTGGTGTACGTGCTCGCGCCTAAGACAACGTGTATGGGAATTTAATTTCTTGTGTCGATGTGTACCATCTTCACTCCCTTGAGGTGATCGTATTTAATTAGCAAAGTCGCATAATTAGGGTTATCGAGCATCAGAAGTTGCGGCTTATGAACTTTCGTTAGTTCAATGTTTATGTTGAATTTTCCATTAACGGCTCCAAGGGTCGTAGAACAAATCTCTACATTAGTGGTGGATGATCCAAGCATCATGTCAATTCTTTTAATCTCGGTTTCTTCTGGTCCTTTGTTGAGAAGAGAGAGATAAGTTTACTTGAGGCGTACGAACCCGTCAATTTCCACAAGAATGATAGGATAAATGACTTCTTTGTTTTCTGATCGATGAGCTGTCAAAACTCCTTCGGTTTTCACTCTCTTGATGAGCCGCAGATTTAAGTGTAATGCCGTTTACCACCAGGCGGTGTGCGCACTCCGATTGCGTTGCATTGTGGTAGCTTCAATTTCAATATGGCGGTGAAAGCAGCAGAATTCGGCAGATTTTGACTGAACATTCCGTGAAAATAAGGCCGTTCCTTTTTCTTTTCACCATGGGCAAATGTAACTTGATTTATTCTGAATGTGTAAAAGTATTTTTTGTACGTATTTGTCGCGTATTCTATGTTTTCTTGTATGTAAATTGAGACCAGATTTCAAGAAGGTCAAATTTGATTTACGTCGTAGTTTGGAGCCTTTCAAAGATTTGGATGGCCGCTCTAATCCTTCTTAACAGCTCTGACCAAACACTCTCCAACGGTACATGTGTTTCTTGCATATTAAGTGCGGGTGTTTGAGACCGATTATGGCCGAGAAAAGGTCTATTGTTGCGTTACACAGCGTTACTATTGTATACTCAATTGTGCTGTAAATCTACTTTCCTAAGTAAAAGGAAATTAACTTATCGCGAGTGTTGTATGGTAAATCTACTATCTTGATCACTGAATGAAGGACAGTTGAATTTGAGCTATGAACGGAGTCACTTGACCAATGAATAACTCTACAATGCGCACGGCGACACACCGGGTAAGCCGGAAAGCAAAAGGCAGTCGATCGTTAAAAGTTGTTGATGGCTTGAGCGACTCCTGCCATTCGCTTGCGCTTTTAAATCTTCTTACCTGAAAGCTTAGCTGTTATTGGGATACCCTTTAATGACTTTCGTTTGCGATGTGATATTAAGGGTTAGTTTTAAGGTGTCATTTCCCTATCTGCATGTTCTTGAGGTTTGGCAAAGCCGGATGAGATTGTGTTATAAATGGTAATAGTTTCACGTGTGCGCGCTATTTCTTTTGTTTTCGTTTACCACCATAAAGGACATTGCTTGTTTTATCTTTTGCCCTATCACGTTGTTAAAGCTTCGTTTTGAGAGCAGATTCGGCGTTTTCTATGTTTTCGAGGTTTAGGCGTTTATGGTGTAGGCTTCGTTACTTGTTTAGATTTCATCGAAAGCACATGGTAATTTGAGGACGTTTTAATGTACACTCGCGATCCACCCACCGTGGCCACCACATTTCCTGGAATTCTCCGGCCGCTGGAGTCAGTATCCAGGAAGGTCACAGAATCGATTTTGTAACTTTAATGAACAGTCACAGGTTTCTCAAGGTCTTCGCACGGTCAAAGGCTTACTTAAATCACATTGCTTCTGATTGACAACTCATTGGGTGTGTACTTTCCGGTTAATTGATATTTTTCCGTAGCCAACGATTACATAATAGCGTAATGTGTGCCCCAGTCCCCGACACAAGACAACGATTCGACAGACAGCTTTCAGAATTACGATTCTAAGCGATTGCTAATGTTATTGTATCAAGGCTGGAATTACATAAATAAAAGGAAACCTCGTTTTTAACTTTATGCATGACAAATTTTTGCGACCTCTGTGTTCGAAATCCGGAAGCCAACGTGAAGCTCCGCCAGTACCAGTTGCTTTCTCTAAAGATTTTTTTCTTTTCTTGACAGAGCGGTTCTCTTTCTTTGTTTTTGAGGCTTGTATTTTTTTCTATTTTTACTAAGGCCTTTCTCCTGCTTTTGATTATTCCACGAGCAAAGATTTTTCCATAAGCAAAGAGCTTATGCCACGTGTGAATTTTCTCAAGTGCGTGATGTACACAAAATACACAAGCAAGCCCTCAGGGGATTCGTCCAGCTACGAGGTGATGACACCTTCCTGAACAATTAGCTTTTATTTCAAATTACATTTTTCTAAATAACTCGGGTGCTTTTGAAGATTTAAAAATGTTTTTTCGCTTGGAGATGTTAGGTAAAATGTTTGAACTCAGGTTAGTCAAATGAAAGAAAAAACGATGTTTTTCTGCCTCTGAAGGTGGGTGGTAAACATAGACACACGTCATCTTTAAGTCTTGCATTTCATTATGCCTAACCTTTTGAATTATTTAGGTCTACTTTCATCTGATTAGGTTGGACTGCAACAGAAATTCCTATTTTAGATCAACAAAGAGGTACTCACAAGAGCTAGACTGGTAAATTTTCACATCTTATTCCCATTTACAGTATTTAAGGAACATGCGTCTGTAAAATACCAGGTTTGAGCGATGATGGGTTATTGTACACGTTATGCAGATATCAATCTTGTCGAAGTAAGAATTCGAAAGGGAAAGTGAAAAGCGTTCTTCGACAGCCATTATGCCTTGGAGATCTTTTCGATTTGAGATTCTAAGAGACTAAGGAATCAGATGTTAATCAATTGAGAATAAGAGGAAGTAGTTGAGTTGTGAATTCACAACGGTACGACCTTTCCAAGTACAGACACGAGTGTCGTTGTTATGCAACTGATCTTTAAGACTCGTTAGAAAATTATTGTTGCCTCGTCTCTTTTGAACTAACGTCATGTTTGAGGATGGAGAGTAAAGGAAACTCTGCAATCGCCATATTGTAAAAAAAGTATGTAAGAATGCAGAATTAACGCATGAAAACTTGACGACGGAAAAACCTACACGGCAATTTTCTTTAAATCTGTTCACGATTTAGAAAAGCAACTCAATGCATCACGACAAATTTTTACGTATGGCGAATTATCGCCTCATGCAGTGCTAGTCTAAAATTCTGAAGGATTCTTACTTAGACAGTCGTAAAGGTTGCAATCCTTCTGAATTACCTGTATAGCAAGTATGGAATTTTTGCCAGTGGGATAAATTTTATTTCGCTCAGACAAGAACTAAAAGGGTCATCTAATCGTTGCGCTGGAGGCGGTCTATGGAACAGGGATCCATGACAATAACCCGAATTAACTTCGATGCATTATTTCATATAAGTCTTCGGTCCGATGAACTATAATTCTGCTGGATCCAAGACTAATTTCGCTTATCTGACAGACAGATACGTTTATGCAAATTTTAAGGAGTAAAATTTCCGCACAGCCCCATTATGTATTTAGTTCTTGGATAAAGAAAACAATAACTTAAACAATACATTTCCATTAGTAAAACAGATTTGTTTTACAATAGTATGGGGCTATGTGGAAATTTTACTAATAACTTTTCTTGAGAAGTTCCATAAATTAAATGTTAGTATCGTAAAAGAGATTGTTGTTCATCGTGGTGTTAAGTAATAATAACTTTGTCTCATTATGTTGTCATTTGAAGTGTCGAACGCGAAGTTTCGACTGCTTACTGCTCGACCTCATGAGGCGATGAGGTCGACTGCTCACGCGTTACCTTTTGTAGCACGGCGATCTATTACGTTCCAGTGGGTTCTGGTTTTCCAAGAGGTCTGACTCCAAGTTGTCCATCGGCGGTTTGCCGAGGGAACAAAATGGAAAGGCGGTTTCCTGAGTAAACTTTGCTCGGCGGTTTGCTCCTACGGTATCAAAGGGCGCTTTTCATTCAACTAATTTATTCTTAAGATATATTAAAGTTTACAAGGCAACCAGATGGACGATCAAACATAGTTTAAGGCTACTCTGGTTTAAAGATTTAATAACTGTAACAGAGAAGTTACAATTCAGACTCATTGGTCCAATGGTTTATGGGGTCTATGAATTTTAAATTCTCGATTAAATTGATTGAATCTTTAAACCAGAATAGCATCAAACCATGTCTAATTTATTCTTTTTTTTCTCGTCAGACAGAAGGGACAGCGTTTTATGGTTGTTACAGAGGAAGGGAAATAATTTTTTTGTTCTTAAAGTCGTACCAGAGAACCCTCAACAGAACACATACCAGGAAGCAGACGGTAAGCTGGTCTTGAACTTTTTTCACGCGCGTTGCAATATCTTTGAAGGGTAATAAGCACAATAGCCTCTATTTAGCAAAAAACCATGCTCCTTGGACATCTGTTCCTCGAAGCTCACAATTCTTATTTCGAAACAGTTAACGTCCGCGGACAAATATCCGTGCATATTTTCGCGCGATATCGAGGCTATTATTTTTATATTTTTGCGTCACGAAAATCACTTGGTTATCGCTTAAGCTGGTAGTACATTTTCCCTCCCAAAGAGGTAATCAAGCTTTTGTCTCGAAATATTTCTTGGTCATTTTAGCCTTGCTCCGTAGTCACAAATTCCAGGTGACAAGTGATTCGCGTGATCATTGCGGGAGACGAGTTTTTCTGCACAAGCGCGAGCTCGCCGAGCTGAAAGAAAAAAGGAAGAAAATGGACTGAAAAGCGATGGCCATATGATAAAATACTTGTTGACTGAGTTAGGTCGGGAACTCACTGCGTTTGTCCTGTACGTTATTATCCCAAGCCAAATAGTTTCCCGTGTGGCCCTCCCACCATGACAACCTGCAACCCACTGCATAAATATCTGTCACAAAATAAATATGCCAGATATTTAAATACAGGTCATCTTCGGATCTTGCATCTCATTACTTTTATAGTATAATTTCATCTGATCAGTTTGGATCTGCAACAGAAATTCCTTCTTTTATATCAACAAAGAATTACTCATAAGAGCTAGACTGGTAAGTTTTCATATCTTATTCCCATTTATAGTATTTACGGAGCATATGTCTGTAAAACACAAAGTTCAAGTGATGAAGTGTTTCTGAACGCGTTATGCAGACATCCGTCTTGTCTAAGTGGGCTCGAAGCAGACTGTTTGCAAACTTCACATACAAAGATACGGGAGAAAAGTTATCGTATTTGCTAATATGGCACTTTGTTTATCGATTGTGACAGGAGCCTATCATCATTTCATCTGATCAGTTTGGATCGCCGACGGAAATTCCTTTTTTAGATCAACAAAGAGCTACTCATAAGAGCTAGACTGGTAAGTTTTCATATCTTGTTCCCATTTATAATATTTATGGAGCTAGTGTCTGTAAAACACAAGGTCCAAGAGAGGAAGTGTTATTTTGCGTGTTATGCAGATATCAATCTTGTCTAATTAGGAATTTGAATGTGAAAGTAAAAAGCGTTCTTCGACAGCCGCTATGCCTTGGAGATCTTTTCGGTTTCGAGACTCCAAGAGACTAAGGAATTAAATATTAATCAATTAAGGATAAGAGGAAGTGGTTGAGTGGTGAATTCACAACGGTTTGTCCTTTCAAGTACAGACACGAGTGTCGTTGTTATGCAACTGACCTGTAAGATCCGTTTGAAAATCATTGCAACATTGTCTCTCTTTGAATTAACGTCATGTTTGAGAAACGAGAGTAAAGGAAACTCTGCAATCGCCACATTGCAAAAACAAGTATGTACGAACGCAGCACTGACGCATGAAAACTTGACGGCGGAAAAACCTACACGGTAATTTTCTTTAAATCTGTTTACGATTTAGAAAAGTAACTCAATACATCAAGTTAGACGACAAAATTTACATATGGTGAATTATCGCTTCATTGCTTGTCTAAAATTCTGAAGGATCCTTGCTTAGACAGTCGCAAAGTTTACATTCCTTTCGAATAACATGTATAGCAATTATGGAATTTTTTGCCAGTGGGACAAATGTGATTTCGCACAGACACGGACTAAAAGGGTCGTCTAATCGTTGCGCCAGCGACGGTCTATGGAACAAGGAGCCATAACGACGCGCAATGGACGGACCTCTATTACCTGAATACCACAAAGTGGGATTCTTTTTATTAAAGGCATAATCAACTGAGCAACGCCGCCACACCGAACTAAAAATGTTCCTTCTTTAAACACATAATTTTTTAAGTGCAGATTTTCTGAAGTAAGGAAAATTTGGTGAAAAACACAATCTGAAAGAAGATTCTTTGCCACTTCAGTATATGTATAGGTAATCACATGATTTCGAGTGCAATTTGGAATAAATAAGCGCGAGTAAATTTTTTTAAAGACTAACAAAATTGCACGAGCCCATTGGGCGAGTGCAATTTGTGGTCTTTGAAAAAATTAACAAGGAAAAATACGAGATGGCTTAACATAATTAAATATAAGCAAAGCGCGCGCATCAAGTGCAAAAAATAATTTATTCAAACCGTGCGTTCGGTCAAAACAACCGCGTAGGATCAAAACAATAATAGGCAATGATATCTTCACATCTTTAAGGTGCAAGAAAGTTCAAAGTCCGACTAAACAGTTCAAGGAATTGTTCAGTCTGTGTCCGAAGCACTTTCGATGAAATGGAATCGTCGTTTCCGAGGTTTAACTATGACTGTTTTTAATTTCGGCGTTGGATCGCTCGAGCAAAGTGTTAAGCTAGGTCGGCTCGTAATTTTCGATTTCCTTGGCAATTCCCCTCTCTAAACACTACTTTTTCCAAACTGACAACCAAAAAGCAGTGCTTTTTATAGTGTTTTCGTTGTTTAAGCTGTTTTTCAGCTGCGGTGGCGAAAGAAAACCTACTTAAAACGCCGGCCATTGTTTCGCTTTTTTGTTGCGCCATCCAAGGCTCGCATTTGATTGGCTATCTATGAGTTTCTTTGATTATTGACCAATCAGAATGTCTGATTTGTTTCTTTCTTTGCACTGAATTAACCCTCTTCTGCACTGAATTAACTCTCTTCTGCACTGAATTACCTGAAAACTGCATTTATCTTAACCAATCAGAACTGAGTAATTTTTCCATGTATATTATTAGCTGGGTAACATGCACTATACATTATATATTCTTGACCAGGTCACTTAACAATATTGAAGAAAAAAAGTTTTAATAGCCATTAACAACCGCTTCACAGTTGAATTGATTCTGACAATTTTTACAACACAGAAAGGAATTATTTTTCGAGAAATATACAGGGTTAGAGAAGCACATGTACATACATATATATATATATAACTGCAGACAGTACTGTTTCGGCCTTCTGGGCCTCATCAGTGCAGTGCTGATGCTAGGATGGAGGTAAGGCCATATAGCCACCCCAAGTGATCTCACATATGTGGTATCATCTAAGCCATGCCAGAGTGCTCAAACTAGAAAGACTAGTGAGCATGCATAATGCTAGCAGCAATGACTCATCCTAGTAGAGTGCTCAATTTGGACATGAAAGCAAAGCTTTGTATGCCAAAGAGCTGTATCTATATATATATATAACATCTTACATATTATCGTGTCAGTAGAAGATCTTCGGAAATTTCCATGCACATTTCTGGGTCAATTATAACTGAACATCTTTTATTTTGCCATGTTAAGAGAAGATCTACGGAAATTTCGATAGACATGTCTGGATCGATTACTACGAAACATCTTGCATTTTTCTACGTTACTGGAAGATCTATGGAAATTACTATGCACATGTCTAGATCAACTGTAACTGAACATCTCTTATCTTGCCATGTCAATAGCAGTTCTATGGAAATTTTACATGCACATGTCTGGATCAATTGTAACTAAACATCTTTTATTTTGCCGTGTTAATAGAAGATCTATGGAAATTTCCATACACATGTCTGGATCGACTGTAACTGGACATCTTACATTTTTCCATGTTACCGAAAGATCTATGGAAATTTCCATGCACACGCGTGGATCAAATGGTAACTAAACGTCTTTCATTTTGCCATGCATGTTAATAGAAGGTACATGGAAATTTCCATACACATGTCTGGATCAATTATAACTGAATATCTTCCATTTTGCCATGTTAATGGAAGATCTATGGAAATTTCCATAAACATGCGTAGAGCGATTGCAACTGAACATCTCACATTTTTCCATGTTACTGGAAAATCCATGGAACATTTTATGCACACGCCTGGATCAATTATAACTGAAAATCTTACATTTTGCCATTTTAATAGAAAATCTATGGAAATTCTCAAACACGTGCCTGGATCAATTATAACTAAACATGTTACATTTAACATCTCGCATTTTCCCACATTACTGGAAGATCTACGGAAATTTCTATGCACACGTGTGGATCAACTGTGACTGAAAATCTCACATTTTGCCCATGTCAATAGAAGATCTTTGGAAATTTCCGTGTACATATCTAGATCAATTATAACTGAAGATCTTCCATTTTGCCACGTTAATGGAAGATCTATGGAAATTTCCATAAACATGTGTAGAGCGGTTTACTGGAAAATCTATGGAACATTTTATGCACACGCCTGGATCAATTATAACTGAACATCTTACATTTTTCCATTTTAATAGAAAATATATGGAAATTTCCAAACACGTGCCTGGATCAATTATAACTGAACATCTTTCATTTTGACATGTCAATAGAAGATCTATGGAAATTTCCTTACACTTGTCTGGATTAATTTTTACTGAATATCTCATATTTTTCCATGTTACTGGAAGATCTATGGAAATTTCTATGCACATGTCTGGATCAATTATTACTGAACGTCTTACATTTTATCATGTTAATGGAGGATCTACGGAAATTTCCATGCACATGTCTGGATAATTATAACTGGACATCTTTCATTTTGCCATGTTAATAGAAGATCTATAGAAATTCTCATTAACATATCTGGTGAGATTGCAACTGAACATCTTACATTTCTCCATGTTACTGGAAGATCTATGGAAATATCTATGCACATGCCTAGATCAATTATAACTGATGAAAATTTCCAGACACATGCCTGGATCAATTATAACTGAACATCTTTCATTTTGCCATGTTCATAGAAGATCTATGGAAATTTCCAGACACATGTCTGGATTGATTGTAACTGAACATCTCACATTTTTCCATGTTCTATGCACATGGCTAGATCAAAGATAACTGAACAACTTCTATTTTGCCATTTTAATAGAAAGTCTATGGAAATTTCCATAGACATGTCTGGATCAAACATGACCAAGTAAATTCTAACATTATTAAACATGTTCATTACTCGAATGTTGGTATCTACAGAAATGTTCAGTCTTTTATGTCTGACCAAAATAATTGAATACCAGTACGTAACACTTTATCAACTCAGTTATTATAGGCATGTCCAAAAATTGCCATCTCACACATGTTGGTACTAAAATGACCTTAAATATCTTACAGTTTACCACAGTACTGTGTCATCAAGAAATAAGCAGACCTATAGATTGAAGTTTTAATGGAAAGTCTATATCTTTAAAAGTCTATAATTTTCGTCCGGGATGGAATACCCTTTGTCGTTATGTCTGATCTCATAAAGCATAACTTTGAATGTCTGTGGGTGGAAATCAAGAGACCTAAATGCAAACGAATGATACTGTGTTGTTCTTACAGACCTGATGATGGGAACATAGATGGTTTTATTTCAAATCTAGCTGATTCGCTAAATTACATCGACACTGAAAACTCCGATATTGTTTTGGTGGGTGACTTTAATATTGATTATTCCACCAAGAATCAGTTACGCCGTAAACTTGATGAATTTGCATTACAACACAGTCTTTCTCAGATTATTTGTAAACCTACTCGGGTCACTGAGAACTCTAGCACCACGATAGACTTGATGTTCGTTAACAACACTCACAGGGTCGTGCAGTCCGATGTTCTGCAGTCAAGCATCAGCGATCATAGCATTGTGTTCTGTACTATCAAGGGAGGTGTAAAGAAACTTCCACCAAAGTTGCTCGAGTATCGTTGTTTTAAAAACTACAACAAAGAAGCATTCTTGCGTGATCTCAGCAACTTACCTTGGAGCATAATCGAAAGTGCTAATGATGTTGATGATGCCGTGTTCCTCTGGGAAGGTCTTTTCAATAGCATTGCAAACGACCACGCTCCGATAAAATCAAAGCGTGTGAAGGGGACAAAGACACCGTGGGTTACGAACAAACTCCTCGAAATTCGGAGTGATCGAGATTACCACTGGAAACAGGCTCAGAAGGGTAAGAACTCGCAGTATCACTGGCAAATGTACCGAAAATTGAGGAACTGTGCGAATAGCGAGGAAAAGAAGCTGAAATCGAAATATTATTGTCGGCTGATAGAAGATGCTAAAGGTGACAGCTCCAAGATGTGGAAAGCAATTAAAGAGACACTTCCCTCTAACCACAATGAAATTAATGCAGTTTTTGGTCATGGAAAATTGCAGACTGACCCCAAAGGCATTGCAGAAACTCTAAACAATCACTTTTCAAGCATCGGCAAGAGCCTTGCAAAGGCCTTTCGTGGTTTAAAACCGACTCAGTACGATGCGTTCCTACCTTATCGTTCTCTCTCAAGTATGTGACGTCAGCCTTTGTTGAAAAGCAGCTGCGCCTAATGAAAACCAATAAAGCGGTAGGACTAGATAGCATTAGTGCACGTTTACTACGTGATGCAGCAAATGTACTTGCTTCACCTCTGCGGGATATCATAAACCTCTCTTTTGAGAAGGGTCAATTCCCATCATCTTGGAAATGTGCGAAAGTGACTGCTCTTTTCAAAGAAGGTGATAAGTCCGATAAAGATAACTATCGTCCCATTTCTGTCCTGCCCACGGTCAGTAAAGTAATTGAGAGAGCTGTTCATTCTCAACTTTACGGCTACCTTGACTCCAACAATCTGCTTGCTGTGAACCAGTTTGGCTTTAGACGTGCAAGATCTACCGCTTTAGCTCTAACGCAGTTTACCGATGAAGTGCTAAGTAATATGGATAAAGGTTTAGTAAATGGTGTAGTTTTTATTGATCTGAAGAAGGCCTTCGACACCGTTGACCATGTCATTTTACTCGGGAAGCTCAAATCTCTAGGATTACGCAGCAAGAATCTGGAGTGGTTCCATTCCTACCTATCCTCTCGTTACCAGAAGACTGTGATTGGTCAAGCCTCTTCTCCTGCGCGGAAGGTTTCCGTTGGTGTTCCTCAGGGATCTATTCTCGGTCCATTACTATTTGCCATTTACATCAACGAACTACCCAAGGTCCTTCGGAACACTACGGTCACCTTATTCGCTGATGACACTGCTATCTACTGCTCTTCTCAATCAGCCCGTGACCTACAGACCATGTTGAATCAGGATCTAGACAGGCTAGCTCAGTGGCTCTACGAGCATAAACTTACACTAAATATCTCGAAGTCTAAATTCATGCTCATTGGCGGTCCAAGGAAACTTAACACCTTAGAAGAATTCACATTAATAATCAAGGAGAAGGAGTTAGACAGAGTCAATTCGTTCAAGTATCTGGGCGTAATTATCAATGAGAATCTGTCTTGGACTGATCATGTGGATTACATTAAGACCAAAGTGTCTCAGAGGCTTGGCGTTTTACAGAGAATAAAACATCTTCTGCCAAGAAATACAAGGGAACTCTTTGTAAAAGCCATGGTGCTGCCAATCCTTGATTATGCAGATGTGACTTGGGGGGATAAATCCAACACCACTCTGATGAACAAGATCCAATTACTCCAGAATAAAGCAGCTAAATTAATTTTAGATATGCCAAAGCATTCATCAGCAACAGAAGCTCTTGATCTACTTGGTTGGGATACATTGGAAAAAAGGCGAAGATCACATCGTCTATTTTTGGTTTTTAAGTCCTTGAATGGACTAATTGATTGGAATTTTAATTTTAATCATTTTAAAGATATACATGATTATAACACTCGTTTTAATAACAACATTTGTAAACCACAATCAAAGCGTACATGGGGTCAGCATCGGTTTGTTTGTCATGCAGTAGATGACTGGAACGCTCTCCCAGACGGCATTAGGAACATTTCCGATTTTTCAGTTTTTAGACGTCTTGTTAAGAACATGTAGTCTCTTCTATTGATTATACCCTTTTATCCTATTCTTGATAACCATATTTATATTTTCTGTTATCCTTACGTTAGATTTATGCAGGGCCTCACTGAAAACCACACTTTGTGACGTGGGCTCCCTGTCAAAAGATCTTATTTATTATTATTATTATTATTATTATTATTATTATTATCTACATATAAGCATGAACATGCATTTTACCTTTTTTTTAACTCTTTGTACCTCCTTCTTAAGTACTGTGCAGACTCCTCTCTAAGTCTATCGTTCTCATCTAACTCAATATCAAAATAAATCACACTTTCTTTAGGAATTTGGGTGGAAGTCCATCCAGGCCATGATACCCACTTTCCTTTGTAGCTACCCTTAAGCCACTGCACAGTGAAGAAGGAGTTAGTGATCTCTCTTACTTTGGCCAGATGGGGAGGTTTGTAGTTGCTGTCAAGATTAACCACAACAATGCTACCCGGTAGAATTCCTTCAAAGTTATCCACCTCAGTAACTTCAGCAGTCGGCCTTCTATAGGCTCCACTATACACGTGCATGTAAACAAATTGTAAAGTCAATTTATCAGCATGACTATTCAGTTCAAAAGATAATAATGTTTAAGTTTTTGGATAGGCAAGTGTGGTTTTAGTCACATCAAAAAAATTCAGCTGTGGCTGACACGACTGAATAAAACAAATGATGGAAAGGTTTGGTGGGCATATGTACTTCAAGGAAAATAACCAAGTTTACATAAGCAGGAGGCTTGAATTGAGCATACATTGTGTATCTTTTGAGCATAAATCACCTCTCGCACAGGAGTAACTTGAGTTCTGACCATATCGTCCACATCCTCAGGGACCCCTTCAGGTTTTTGCCCCAGGAAACCCAGACCATTTCCATCAACCTTTGATTGTTTTTGCCTTTCTTTTTCCTTGTTGGTAATAATATCTTTCAATGGCCGAGAGATTGCCCTTTCTGGTGGATGCCATCTAATATTTTCAGGGTCAAGTAGTAATGCCCAGTCTTCTTTATGTCGTTCCAGAAACAATCTTGATCTTTAATACTTTACAATGTCTGTTCTGAGCCTTTGAAGCTCAAGCTTCTCTGTATCTGGAACAATATAATAATCTGGGGGGGCGGGGGCATCTACATTAATTTCCGCATCTTCCTAACATAAATAATGAGATTAGCAGGCTTAAAAAACTGTAGCACAAAAACTCCTTCTAGAAATTTTGAATTTAAAGGACATGAATCAGACAATACTGAATGACATGACTACAGACCATAGATAAGCTGCATTAACTTACAATAATTAAGCAGCAACAGTGTTTGTGACTTTTCTACATGCCATTATTTTTAATTATTAGTGTGCCTTGTATGATGTCAGTAACAAAATGTAAAATCATTGCACAAAAACTGAACAAAACAGGTATTTATGAAAAGAGTGTACTTAATTGAAAGTATTGCTAGGATTTTTTTGTTTTTACTCATTCTTCATTGCACAGCAGATTCCACTTACTTTCAAATGACTTAAGGGGTAAGTTTCTAAAGAAACTGTGGTGCTGCGTCGGTGGGAGAGTATAGCAGGTAATTTGGTGTTAACAACTGGGTTGAAAACGTAAATTAGCCACCGTAAAGGGTAAAAAAGCTAACCTTTACGGTGGCTAATTTACGTTTTCAACCCAGTTGTTAACACTAAATTACCTGCTCCACTTACTTTCGCTATGGTTAACCACTGCTCTGGATCGGGGCTAACAGGTTTCCAGTTTACCTGTTTATTACTTCCCCAGTTCTTGTATTGCATAACAACTTTTCCAGATGGAGCTTTTGTAAATTAAAAAGCATGTGGGTTTGAAATGTTGTGAAGTGTGGTTGAAAAGGATGACATCCACTCCTTTACAGCAAACACATGCTCAACCTCCACAGCCTTTGGAGATGGGGTGTAACATCACTCAAAGGATCTCTTAAGCTCTACAAAGTAAGGAGACAAAAAAATTAGATAATGGATCAGTCCATTTGGTCAGGAGAGGATACACATTGATCACTTGAAGGGTTAAAAAATAACTGTATGATCATATTAATTGTGCACATCAATCCAACCACACATATTTCCTTTTTTTACAAAAATATCGTGACGACAAACGGTTTAGCGTGATGACAAATGGTTTAACGTGACGACAAATGGTTTAGCGTGACCCCAAATGCTTTAGCCTGACGACAAACGGTTTAGTAAAAAACCGAAATGGTTTAGTATTACAACAGCTGGTTTACGCTGTAACCGCAAAAAACACATAAGTGAAATGGACAAGTAAAGCTTGAAATGAAACAGTCTATGTGGGGTCTTACGTCACAACCCCCAACTCGAATTTGGCGCGAAATTCGTCAGAACGATCGCGTTAACGAGATATTCGCCCCATCTCCACTCGACGTTCAACAAAGGAAGAAATTGTTTCTGTAGTCTCGTCTACTAGACTCAGCGCAACTTATTCCGGTAATAATCATTTTTTATGTTTGCCCATTTTCGCTTGTTAGCGAATAAATTTATACCATCATAATCTTGCCGCAATATTAGTAAGTAAATGATATTTGGGATGAAACCGTTTTCATCGAGCTGGTGAACGTTCAGTAGCTTAACAATCAGTTACTGAAAATGAAAATAAGCTTAAACTTATATTTCACATAATTTCAGTATATGATTGATTAGCATAATGGCTGTCACGCGTTTTTTCGCTCCTGCTTTACTAGTAACTTTGGGTGTACTATTGATAACCATATGGTTAGATTTTAACGAAGAGAAGCCACTAAGGCCCCTTGGTTCAATCGCTCGCTTCAACGACAATCCAGGGCGAAACAAAGACTATATAACAAGGCAAAGAAAACAGGATCTGTACATCACTGGAACAAGTTTTTTGTCGTCAGGAAACGCATGCACAAAAATCTTAAGTCTGCAAGGGAGAAGTATATCAGCGGCCACCTTTGTGAGGCAATCAAGGACAACCCAAAACGTTTTTGGTCCTGCACAGAACGGCTTGAACAAAAAAAATACAGGGATAGCAGACTTTGAAGTCGACAACAAAGTTATATGTGATGGTGGTCTTAAATCAGAAATTTTAAATAGCCAATTTTCAAGTGTGTTTACTAAGGAGGACCTTGGAAACATTCCAGAAATGGGCTCTGATTCTACACCTGGCTTGGGTCCTTTGATTATCTCAGAACAAGGAGTCTTAAAACAGCTGTCTTCATTAAACCCTAATAAGGCCTATGGCCCAAATTCCACTCGGTTTCTCAAAACTTATGCCGCAGACATTGCTCCAATACTAACCGACATCTCTCAAGACTCTATAGAAAGTGGCAGTGTTCCCCACAGATGGAAGGAGGCCGGTGACTTCTGGCGTACCCTAGGGTACAGTCCTCGGCCCATTGCTCTTTTCATTATATTTAAACGACTTACCAGACAATGTGCAATCATCAATTAGGCTCTTTGCAGACGATGCATTACTTTACGGCATTGTCGCTAGCGATGTTGACGTTGACCTTCTCTAATCTGACCTACGCAGGCTGGAATCCTGGCAGCATCATTGACAAATGGAGTTTAATCCTTTCAAATGCAAAATTTCTACCATCTCAGATAAGGACAATCCACCCCAGAGAAAATACGTCATCTGTGGTGTAGAGTTGGTAGCTTCCCATACCTAGGGGTTACCATCAGTAACAAGCTCAAGTGGTCAGCCCATGTTTCCATGACAGCAACTAAAGCAAACACATCGCTGGGTACAATACAACGCAACCTTTGAAATTGTCCAAAGAATGTAAAGGAAATTGCATATCCATCCCTGGTGCGACCGAAGCTGGAATAAGCAAGTGTGGCTTAGGACCTGTTTTCGACGTTTTTAAAGAAAGACATCAGTGCTCTGGAAAGCGTTCGACGTAAAGCAGCTCAGTTCTGCCCACAGAATTGTAATAGACATGCGAGTGTTACGGACATGATCAAAGACTTAGGGTGGGCCACGCTGGAAACGAGAAGAAGGCAGTCTAGGTTAACACTTATGTACAAACTAACTCATGGTCTTATTGATATAGATGGCTGAGAATATTTAATTCAACACTTTGAGAGCCGCACGAGGGGAAGCCATCAATTTAAATTTCGCGTACCGTATGCAAATAAAGACGTTTTTGAATTCTCGTTTTTTCCAAAACTATAGCGGACTAGAACTGCCTCCCTGAAGTCATTGTTTCATCAACCTCTTTAGAAACTTTTAAATATAGGTTATCAGTTTTTCTTAGATAATAATTGTATATAGTTTATATAGTTTTCTTTATTTAACTTTTATATCATTATTTTATATGTTCATAGATCTCTATTTTAGAATGGTAATTGAACTGAGTGGAATGCAACTTGGGCTGAAATCATACGCGTGATTTCAAAATCGAACGAGCGTGCAGCGCAAGTTCGATTTGAAATCACAAGTATCATTTCAGACCAAAATTGCACGAGACGAGGTTCAGTTACCGCTTTACTAGATCCATTTTGAAATCGCCCAAATACAGGACTTGGTCAGTTCAAATATTTTATTGATGCAGTACTGAGCAGGTCTGAAATTTAATTCATCCTTTTTGGGGGGGCAAAAAGTAAGAGTTTTGGAAACAGAAGTTGCAAAATTTGCCACATAATACTCTTTTGTCTTTCATTTTCCTGCAATTTGATTGGTTACTTTAAACAAGCCTTGAAATCTGACTGGTTGTTTTGTTTTTAGTGTAGCCTCCTAATTGGCTGGGAAAAAGACAGACGCAATTTAGAGCAAAAAATGGTGCGATTCGTGAATAAATAGCATCAATTAGAGCCAATCAGATTACAGGGACCACCAGTGATTTCAAAATGGATATAATAAATTCATTTACTAATTTTATTTATTTATTTGTTTTTATTTTTACGGTTGGTGTGATATCTTAACGATTTTACCGACCCAATACATGTCAATGTAAAAAAATGTAAATAATATATTTTCTTATTGTTTTAAACCATACATTTTTATAATCTCCAATTTTTATAGTTTTTTAAAACTAAGTTAAGCCTAACTATCAGAAATTTTATCTTGAGGTCTTAAATTCCTAATAAGTTCGGCATAACCGCGTTGGGAATTCAAATTGCTATTAGCCAGTTTCAAATTGCTCTTTTGTTCTTTTCAGTTTCTTACTGTGAAAACTGCTGTACTTTAAATGGAGAATTCTTACCATGGTTACGCCTAACCATGGTAAGAATTCTCTATTTTACTACCTCAAGATGAAATAAGAATCTGAAACAAAAGAAATGACAAAAATACTGATAAAATGCATCATTTTACGCGACAGCACATTTTCAGTCTAGACAGTCAGAACCATTGCTAGGAAACGTGGTAAAGTGATTCATTGTTTTAAGACGACGAAACTACAACTAGAGGGCGCCTAAAAACTGTAAAATCTATATAGTTAAAAACTACATGGCTATAAATAGTTTATGGTGAAAACTGCTGTACTTTAAATGGAGAATTCTTCCCATGGTTACGCGTGGCCATGGTAAGAATTCTCCATTTTACTACCTCAAGATAAATTAAGAATCTGAAACAAAAGGAATGGCAAAAATACTGATAAAATGCATCATCATAAAGCGATTCATTGTTTAAGACGACAAAACTACAACCAAAGGGCGCCTAAAAACTATAAAAACTATAGGGTTGTGACGTAAGACCCCACATAGACTGTTCCATTTCGAGCTTGACTTGTCCATTTCACTTTTGTGTTTTTGGCGGTTACGGCGTAAACCAACTGCTGTAACACTAAACCATTTTGGTTTGTACTAAACCTTTTAAACGGCTAAGAATATATGAAAGTCATAGGTCACTAAACCTTTTGTCGTCACGCTAAACCATTTGTGGTCACGCTAAACCATTTCTCTCTACGGTGAGTAGATTGATGCGATACTATACCATTGCGGCTTACGATTAACCATTTGCCGATAACTTAAGCTATTTCACACTACTCTGAACCGTTTGTGTCAAGTCACTGAACTAAAGTACAATTAGCTGAACCGTTTGTCATTTCGATACTGAACCATTTCACTAACCCTAAGCAACACTTGGCCAATCGTGTTTTTATTGAATCAGTTCAACAGTTTCTGAATTGTATAAACCATTTTTTGTTTGAATGTTTCATTTCATCAAAGGCGACTTGTTCATCTCCAAAAGACAATTAGACCATTTCTGTTTATTACAAACCATTTATTATGCCTGTATTTTTGGCGGTGACGGCCGCCCATAAAACCGTCTTTCCATTTTGTTCCCTCAGCAAACCGCCGAGGGAACAACTTGGAGTCCTGAGGCGGATTCAGGATTGATTCGGGTGGTTCGGCCGAACCCCCCAATAAAATAAAAAAAACATTCCAACACGTGCGGTTTCTGACGAGTTTGATGGATATAGTATACGTCTAAAATAGCTCAAAACCGAGATTGTTTTCAATGGCAATTAACAAACCACAATCATCGACTCAATAAACCTGGATATCACCTCTCCGAGGATCTAGATTTCAAAATGTTCCGTTGGAAGCATGCCCTCGACCCCCTTGGATAGTCTCCCTTCAGCAGACGTTTACCCGAACCCCCGTTCAGTACATCCTGGAACCGCCCCAGGAGTCAGACCTCTCGGAAAACCAGAACCCAGTGGAACAATGGGGATCGAAATCCGCCAGTCGTATTACACTATCGGAAAATGCAAATTACCAAGACCTAAACCTCGCTTTATTGAATGCCGTAGCTTCAAACATTTCAAAGAAGAGGATTTTATTGCTGCTTTACAAAACGTTCCTTGGTATACCGCCTATCTCTATGAAGACTCCGATGATATCTGGGAACACTGGTCGAAACTTTATAACGATGTACTCGAGTTGCATGCCCTTTGAAGAAGAAACAAATAAGATGGATAACTCCTGAAATAACGCGTGAAATGTCTCCACGGAATCGCCTTTTTAAACAGTACAAGAAAAACCCAACGTCACACTCCTGACAGTCTTATCGTAAACAATGGAACAAAGTGACATCCCTTAAACGCAAGGAAATGAAAGCGTTTTGCCAAACGGCCTCTACAAACATCAAGAATCCTGGTGAATTTTGGAGACAGATGAAACCTTTACTACCCAACTGTAAATCAACTACTTCTATCCACTTTATACTTGCCACCGGACGTAAATCCTCTTCCTGCCTTTTGGCAGAACTTTCTTTGAACAACGAAACACGAATGAGAGTATCAAATCACATTTCTGACTGTATCTTAGAAAGACCTGCTACAGGACAGGTCTTTCCTCAGGCCAGGTCTTTCCTCAGGCCAGGTCTTTCCTCAGGCCAGGTCTTTCCTCAGGCCAGGTCTTTCCTCAGGCCAGGTCTTTCCTCAGGCCAGGTCTTTCTTCCAAACAAAAATTTCATGTTATGCTTTTCTTCTGACAAAATAACATGGCACGTCACTTCATTCCACGATCTTTGAAGAACTCCTCACTACACTTTTCAAAAAGTGTTTTTCTCTCACGGCCAGTTCTACTTGTGAATCGAATCGAGGTACAATGTCTATTTTATATACCAACTTTAACCTTAACTTAGGGTTTTGTTCGCAATAGAGGCAACATCGTGGGTCAAATATAATTTATTTTCATGAGAGAGAAAGCTGCCAAAATTGTGTTAATAGCTAATTTCTCGATACGTTATACTTGTCACCGGACGTAAATCTTCAAAGATCTTGTCCTCCTGCCTTTTGGCAGAACTTTCTTCGAGCAACGAAACACGAATGAGAATATTAAAAAACATTTCTGACTAAACCTTAACAAAGCTTCCTTCAGGCCAGGTCTTTCTTCAAGAAACATGTAATGCTTTTCTTTCGACAAAGTAACTTGGCACGATCATTTGCAGTCACTGCACGATCTTTGAAGAACTCATCGCCACTGACCTGATGCTACCACGAAAACGCTATGTGTACGCTTTTCGCACAAGAAAACTTCCCACAAATTTGTAGACAGGAACACTTTTTCGGCGCGACTTGGATCAACTGCAGTCCTCACTATCACACCAACTTCTCAGCACTTCTAACTTGAAGCTTTACCCAAAAGTTACATGTACTTCGGTTAGAATGGTCACGTCGTTTCGATCGAATTTTTAAATGCCTACTATAGACAGGATTTTGGGGGTGAAGCCATATATATGGAAGACGAGGAGCACGGATTGACATAATGTTGGAAGATTTTAAATAATGGTCCAACATGTGAAAACTGACAAAATAAGGATGCGCACTAATTAACCAAAATGCGCAACCGAAGATGAAAATGAAGCATACTCAATTCGAGATACAATGTTGCGTCAAATAATCTGAGGAAATTTCTTTACGAGAAATCGTTAATTCGTTTCAAATCATCGAATCATAGCAATCATAACTTCTTGAGAAATTAAAAAAAAAAAAAAAAAGGAAACATTAAAAGGCACACATACCCCTATCCTGACCTTCAGGCGATGAACACAAAGAAGCTCCGAAAGGTGTCCTAGATTTAAAGGGTACCTTGACAATCGGCTATTGTAGTTAGGTTCTCAGAGACTGACAACGTTTTGCTTACCCCGACAGGAAGCTGAAAAAATTCTTGAACGGCGTGCAACCACGTAAAACCGGATTTGGCCACGTCAGCCACACCGAAAGGTTAAAAAATATAAAAATTTTACAATTTGATTTGATTAAACTGAAAACAGTAAAATATAAGAAAAAATATTCAGAGAAAGGAACTCCTAATAGGAATTTTCAATAGAGGGGATAGCGTGACAATCATTTTATACAGAAAGGAAGAGGTCATAGGTTCAGATCACGGCCTCACTTTCACTACTGCTTAAGCAGTGATCATCGCAGCAAAGATCACTTTCATATTCATTTCTTAAAAACCGAAGGTTACAGATATGATTTTCATATATTCACAGTCGTTAAAAGGATAGAATTGGATCATGTGGGTAAAAGGCATTTTCAAAGGTTGTCCCGTCCTCCTCCCACAGGACTTTCAACGAGTTTCACTCTAGGTAATTTTAATACTTCTGTTTATTGATCTGTTCAGCCACGAAATCAGGCAAGATGCAATTTTCTCGAGCTAAAAAGTCACAAACCACTTAATCTGAAGGTGCCCATAAGTTTATCTTTCCACGACCAAAATACTTGGAAGCAGAAGCTGCCAATACAATAGCAGGCGACTGTTGCTGTGAAGTGAATCATTAACTACTAATTTGTTTCAAACTAGTTTTTTATTCCATGAATTGACCAAGCTTATTTTGAATGATTTCTATCATTCTTTCTTGAAACCCAGGAGAGACACGATGAATGACCTCTAAACGCGTTTGAGGAAACCGTTTGAGTTCCATGTAACATTATACCTGCCATACAAAAGCAAAAAAATCCACCGTCATTATCAAATATGAATCTTTGTTAGTCTGTTCACAGCCAATAAAATTTCTTTTAAATGTCATCCCAAAGCGAAAGAAACCCCGGGGGGGGGGATTTAACGAGTGCTCCCGATGGGGGTGGGTGGTCGGTGACAAAGGAAATAGGCGGCCTGTGGAATAATTGTTGTCACAGAATTCATCGTTTCTCAAATAACGAAAAATTCTCAGGGACTAAAATGTCATTGATATGAGATCGGTCCAAAATATGAATGAGATGGGGAAATAGTCTTCGCAATTCTTAGTAAAGGTTGTTCCACCCGGTTTTCCAGATCCTGCATGATCGTCTTTCAGACCAAACATCATTTTTCATACCCGTCTTCATCCTTAATAGCGTTTGAAATTTATTTCCGTTTCCGAACCTGGATTACGAGGGCAACAGCTTGAGGATTTGGTCCAAAAATCTATCACGTGTTTTACAGCTTAGTTAAGCTTTGCACCATGTGAAATGTAGGATGTAGAAAACACGTTAAGGCCAAAATCCTCCGACCCTCCCCCTCACCTCAGGTGAAAAATAATAATCGGTCCCTTATCGCCAGGTTTTTCTTGTAGCTATTGCCTTTAATTTGAAGCTGATTTTTAATATGTGAACTCAACACTCACCCAAAGAGGTCTGTATATAGTTGGTCAACAAGGTATCTCTCTGAGTGAGTTTTCATAAATTCCTTTAACTTATCAAGTTTCGAATGTCCAAACGGAGTATACCCAAGCTCTTTGATTAGTCCCTGGCCAGGCTGGTTTGGTGCTAATGGATTAGTATCTTCTACACAGATGTAGTCACCAGGCTCCGTAAATTTGTCAAAGTATTTCAGTACTTCAACTATATTAATATGCACGTCTTCGGTAATGAACCAAGGATGTGGGAGAGTCTGTGGGTGAAAGTTACCTTGGCTCAAATTCGGTTTCTCTTACATTTAAGCTTTGTTAGAGATAGATCATCAAATTCAGTAAAATATAAACAACAGCCTCCGTCCGGCCAGAAAGTATGCTAGGAAATCATCTGTTCTCAGAGGCGAGCAGTATTCCGAGAACGAAACTCGAGGAGAACTGTGAGCAACGAGGAACAGATAATGTCCAAGGACAAATCTACGAGTATATTTTCGCACCAAACGAAGGTTCCTTTGTTTGGCATCCGTCAAATCTTTTTTGGTACGACTTCATTAACAGACACATATGTCCCTTCTTCTGTAACAACAAAAAAACCCTCTCTCATCGTGAATTGGATTCATAACGAAGAAAAGAAACATATCTAGAAATTAGCGAATCTCATTTGGGAAATATCACCGGATATTCCCAAGTTATGGCTGCGACATATAAGATCACGTGACACGACTAGAATAATCGCGCGCAAATATCACCGGATATTCCCAAGTTGATGGATGATAATTGGCAATATGTTTTCTTACCTGAAGCAATTCTGGAGGGAAGCATTTTTCGATTTCATTCGAATTTCCTTCAATGAAAGTTACATCAGGGCATTCCTTGGCGACTGGATCCAGAAGAGAAAGATCAATGTCCATAGAAAAGACATGTGACTTCACACCTAAAATTTTCAGCATATCTGCTGACCACAAGGCTGATCCACCCTTCCATGCGCCAAGCTCGATGACTGTCTGAGGCTTCTCTTCCCAAAATAACTTCTGCACTATTGCGAGACTAAGACAATCCTTCAAGAATGGCACTCCTTTCCAGGCATTCAAATATTTTCCTTCAAAAAAAAACGCTCATTAACTACTTCAATCTGTTAGCAGGCCCTCATGATAAGCGCTGCAGGACCAGAACTTCTCCGCCCGCGGGAAGATTGGAGACGAGTCGGGGAGAGGTTTGCCGGGGGTCTGGCACTATCAGTGCCAAGGCCTCTCGCCCGCTTGCGGTGCACGAGGCCTCATACTTTCTCGCGGGCGCAGAAATGATCGTCCCGAAGCGTTAATAACGAGGGCCTCACAGGCTAAAATTACTCTTTCTCTAGTCTCCTTCACAGTCGTGCTAAGGAATGTCACGCAATGCTTCATGATGTCACCCCCCCGTTCTCTTGGGGGAAGGGTCGCGTGAAAACCAAACGAACGACTGCAAACGAGACAACTCTTACTTTATCAATTTTAAAAGAAACAAATTAAACATATGCACTTCTGTGCGTCCTGGATGGTCACGCCTTCTCAGTTCGTTGCAGCCATGAATAATTGTTCCATTCTAGTACTAGTTTACAGAACTACGACCGGCTCTTCTGCTCAACATGACCAAAATAAAATTGTCTTTGACTGACATTAATTACGCGCGTTCTATGGTCATGAGCATGTGCGTAAGTCCTTTGCAACCTGGTTTTGCGGGAAGTATTGTGCTTCAATCAGATTTTTTTTTTCTTCTGGGCCTGTATAGGTCTCTTAGCTTTGATTTTCTCTTAGGGTGGGGATGTGAACATCAATCTTACCATGTGCTATTTTCAACATCATGTCAGATGACATGTCACTCGTGTCTAGTCTTTCCTCAAATCGAACAAATCGTTGTCTGCTGGACATCTCCTTCATGATGACTGGTGAGATAGCACGATAATCGAGGTCATCCATTTTCTCTATTTCAAGGGCTGCACCTGTCGAAAAACGGATAAATGTTTCTCTGCGTTGTTTCAATGATTAAAAGAATCAATTCCTCATCATTATTTTGTGACAAAATACTGTTAAAATATCACCGGGTATTATCAAAGCGACGAACATACGCACTTGCAACTGTGGAAATACGGATTACTGCGTCTCTGTAATGGTCCATTATAAAGTTGCACGCTTTATTGCCAAGCTTTTAACAGGAGTGAGTCTAAGGGTGACCTTGTTATGATGCAAACCCTGCTGCTTTTCAAATGTTAATTGCCTTGTTATTATGCACAGGTACGAAAACGGATAATTGCTTCTCTGCAATTTATGAATGGGTAAAAAATTTAATTCTTCATCATTATTGTGTGA